CCCTCCACCTGTCTCCCAATCACCATCACCATGTTACTTTTTATGAGCAATACCATACAGCTGCGAAAAGCAAGAGGAGACAACACAACTGACGTACAAACTACCATCCTCTTAAAACAAAAATGCTGGAACAAGGCCTGAAAGAATCTCTGCTTTTAGGGGATTCTTTTTTTTTTTTTTTTGAGTGAAGAGAAGCACATTGGTGTCACAATAATGGTAATTAAGTCCTGCGAAAATGTAAGACTGACAGACAGAATCAACAAACGGAAAGTGGGACCTTCCAGTGGCACCCCCCCCCCCCCCCCAACAACCTCGAGACCTCAGTGCTTACTTGTCCTATCTCCATTTTTTTTTAACATTGAAAATGTGACTTCTTCTTAAGCTCACTCTTTGTTATAAACTGTTTGCACTGTTATTAAAAATGGAGATAGGACAAGAAAGCACTGAGGTCGTGACCTGCCAAGCATCTCTGCAAAAGCCCACACACAACATTTCCTGCTCTCTCTCTCTTTCTCTGAGTGTGCGTGAGTGTGTGTTTGTGTATGTGTGTGTGTGTGTGTGTGTGTGCGTGTGTGTCAGTGTGTGTGTGTGTGTGTGTGTGTCCAGAAACAGCACCAGCAACAAATCACAACAGCATCAACTGCCTCACCTGTATAAGTCCAACACTGGCGTCAAATGTGACAGAGTTGGGCTTGGCCACGACCTCCACAGAGATGTTCTTCAAGGTCACATAGAGGAGCTCCTCTGAGAAGCTGTTGACCAATGAGAGCCCAACGCCGTCCTTCAGGGAGACGTAGAACTGGAGATGGGCCAGACAGACGCTTTTGTTATGTTCCTCATGTTCGCACAGACAAAAATCTTTATTATGTTAAAGTTTACACAGAAAGAGGTCTTTGTTATGTTCCTTTTATGTTTAAACTAACAGAAGTCTTGTTATATTCCTTTTATATTTACACTGAAAGAAGTCTTTGTAATGTTTGATTTATTTTTACCACATATCCCCCCACTCACCCCGACAGTAGTGTCTGTTATGTTTATGTTTATGTTTACACAGAAAGAAGTCTTTGTAATGCTCCTTTTATGTTTACACTGACAGAAGTCTTTGTTATGTTTGATTTATATTTACCCCCCCCCCCCCCAGACAGTGGTCTTTGTTATGTTAATGTTTGTGTTAACACAGAAAGAAGTCTTTCCTGTCTTCCTTTGTAATATTTATTTGCGTAGAAAAAAAAGTCTTAGCTATATTTGTTTTTGTTTACACAGGGAAAAAAGTATTTTCTTTGTTTAATGTTTACATAGACAAAAGTCTTTGTTACCCTCGTTTCATGTTTATACAGACAGAAGTCTTCGTTATGTTTATTTTTTGTTTACACAGAAATCTTTTTTGTGCTCATGTTTACACAGAAAGAGGTCTTTGTTATGTTCCTTTCACATTTACACAAACAGAAGTTCTTTGTTATGTTTTTTTAAATGTTTACATGGACAAATCTTTATAATTTTTATTCGTATAGAAAGAAATCTTTGCTATCTTCGTTTTTGTTTACACAGAGAAAAAAGTGTTTTCTTTGTTTTATGTTTACACAGAAAGAGGTCTTGTTACATTCTTTCTATGTTTACATGAACAGAAATCTTTGTAATATTTATTCGCATAAGAAGAAGTCTTAGCTATATTTGTTTTTGTTTACGGAGAAAAAAAAGTTTTTTCTTTCTATAATGTTTACATAGACATAAGTCTTCATTATGCTTGTTTTATGTTTACACAGACAGAAGTCATTGATATGTTTACTTTTCGTTTACACGGAAAGAAGTCTTTGTTACGCTTGTTTCATTTTTACACAGACAAAAGTTTGTTACGTTTATTTTTTTTGTTTACACAGACAGACATATTTATCATGCTTGCTTAATGTTTACACAGAAAGAAGACTTTTAAATTTTTGTATTATGTTTAAGCAGACAGAAGTATGCTTGTTGTAGGTTACAGGGAATCAGACTTACCCCGCTCACCCCTCTAGCTTCAACAGCACAAAGTCTACTTCGACTATCAAGGCACCCCAGAAATAGCGGGTCACAAAAGTGTGACAAACATACAAAAGTAGAGGGAAAATGACGATAATAAGGATTAGGAAAGAAAAAAGCAACAGTTCCCTGTTGCAGCTCAGGCACAGTTATGAGCATGACATTGATGAATTCATCAGCCCATTTACAATTATAATTCTACTGTGCATATGAACTCGAGATGTTAATGTCCCCCCCCCCCCCTTGGGAATGGCCTAAAGACACTTCAGTCAGTAGCACCGCCCCGGGGGGTGGAACATCTCTGAGATCCTGCTGCAATAGTAGAGGTGAAGGAGGAAGAAAAGGAAGAGGAGGAAGAGGAGGAGGAGGAGGAGGAGGAGGAGGAGGAGGAGGAGGAGGAGGAGGAGGAGGAGGAGGAAGAAAAAGAGGAGGAGGGGAGAAGGAGGAGGAGGAGGAGGAGGAGGAGGAGGAGGAGGAGGAGGAGGAGGAGGAGGAGGAAGAAAAAGAGGAGAAAGAAGAAGGGAAAAAAGACCAAAACTTAGTGTACATATTCCCCCTCAAAATTTCACCCCAAAGAGAGCAAATTGTTACCTCAATGTTCATGCTCAAGCCTCTCTCTACTGGGTTCTTTGACCTGCGTTGACCCTTGAGCTGATCGTAAACCTCCCAGTCCTCCAAGTCTTTCTCCACAGAGATGTTCTTCACCACTTGCTGAAACACACAAAAGGAAATGGTTAAGAGCTGACATTTTAAAACCAAAGACGCCGAAGCCATGACATGTACCACAGTTGAAGTGTGAACAGAGCTGTAATTGCAAGTGTAGTTGTTTTACGCCTTCACTGACACAATTTAGATCTAGTGGAAAGCAGGCTGCTCCACCCCTGCCTGTCAGGGCCAACCCTGCTTGAGAGGAATACAACATACCAGCAGACAGACAGGGATACTCAATAAAAAGCCTCCCCATGCAGGAATCGAACACAAATCTTCAGCGTGTGATGGCAAAGCACCTTACTGTTACAGCATTGACACCATTTGAACAGAATTAAGAGCCTTATTGTGAGCAAAATACAGTTATTAAGAGCCAAATCTAAATAATGCAACAGCTAAATGTAATCATTGTGAAAGCCAAATCTACTTTTTGTGAACTATTTCTACTTACTGGAAATAACATCTAATCATTGAGGGCCAAAACTATTCTATTGGGCAAAAATCTAATTATTGAAGGCCAAAACTATTCTAGTGACCAAAATCTAATTATTGTTTATCAAATATAATCATTGTGAACCAAATCTAATTATTCTGACAATCAAATCTGAATATTACAAGAACCAAATCTAATAATGATTTATAGTCTTAATACAATTTTTGTGCACTATCTAATTATGGAGAACCAATCTTCTATGTAGTTAAATATGGACCTCCCACGCAGATAAAATTGACTGTAACTCATGCTTGAAAAGCTTTTTGAACATTGTTTTTGTTAGTTTTGGCTTGTTACATTTGAGAGATAAATCCTGGATGCAGCACAAGGCTTACTTAAGCCAGTATTGAAAAAATTGTTTTAACAGTAAGGTCTACAATATATTTGATTCCAAACAAAATTCAAAGTAAAGTTAATTCAAACATTTTAGAGGGGGGAAAAACATGGTAAATGACTTTGTACGTAAACCCCAGTATAAACTAGCAAAATGTATTTGATTCCTAAAAGATGTAAGTCATGAAAAGCACCAATAATAAAAATGTTTTGATGAAATATAAAGCATAAGCATTTCATAGAGAGTACATTTTTCTCTAATCCCCAAAATCAGCAGGAATTTCTTAAGCACTAATTCAACCCCAAAAAATAGAAATGTATTACATGTAAATCTATAGATTTTAGCAGTTACCACTGAATTCAAGTGCTCCTGCAGTAAAATTATAGTCTCAATAACAGAGGGTGTCAAAGTAGCCAGACTGTTCCAGTAACAGTTTGCTACATCTTGCAAACAACTGCATGGTTCATCTTCAAAGACTATGAAAAGCATAAATGATCTGTCCATAGTCCCAGCATTCTTGTTCATGTTATTTACTGTTGGTTTGGGAAGATGTTCAGTGGCCAAGATGACTTTAAATGAGACTGAATAATAATAACAATAATATAAAGGATTTGTATAGCACAAATACTTGCTTAACAGCAAGCTCTATGCGCTTTACAATCTATATTATTACGCCAGAAGACCTGATAGCATTCTGAAACAATCTCAACTTCTTGGGAAGCATATAGTGAAAGCTACCATTTTTTATAAGCACTAAAATACTAACATACAGATTAGATCTTTCACTATCTATGGTCGTGTACCAATTCTCACCTGGGTGAACAGAGGAAAATTTGTGTAAAGTGCTTTCCCAAGGACACTATGGCAGGCCTGAGGCTCAAACCCCCAACCTCACGATTAAGAGTTCAGTAGTCTAACCACTAGATTACCAACTTCACTAATGATGTCCTCTAACAACTGTGTTCAAAACACAAGTACATACATTCTAACAATAGCCATGAGCAAATCAAACAAAGACAGCACCACAAAAACAACAAATTTCTTAATGCACCCAAACACTAACTACCGTGCAATCTCTAAAGATTGTTAATTCTTTCAGAGTAAGAGCAAAAACAAATGAGGTAATAATGCTCATAATGACTCAAGTCTAATAATGCTCACAGTGACTTAAGTCTGATTCACCTCTTGTGCAGAATGAAAAAGAACCTATCACAAATGTCGAGAAGAATTAAGTTTATTTACTGACTGTGCCACAAGACATAAACTATCAGAAGCATTCACTGCACTGAACTTCTTCAAACAGTGAATTTAACAGACACTCTTCAAGCAGTAACAAGGCTTTCTTAAAGAACAGCTTGAAAGCAAAAGTTTCTCAGAGACCCTAACAATAATAACGCTTAACCTTAAGCATTCACGTGGATTGCATGAGAGAAACTATATATTATTATGTACTTAGGACTAATAAGAAAAACAATGCCTGAACATAAACATAAGGAGAATGTAGCAGGGACAGACTCAATGTTCCTACAATGACAAAAATGACCATGTCTGAAATGCCTTAAATTAGCTTGGTCCATAAAACCTGCTGCATGCTTATCTGCTGGGACATAAGTGTTCGTCACAGGTATCTTGGAATTAAAAAGTGTACCTCATCATAATACACTTATGATACTTTAACAATTAATCGGTCCTTTTTAACTCTGGGGTATTCAGTGCTTTTTAGGGGAAAACAAATTTGTTAGTGAAATGAAAAAAAAAAAGAAAGAAATAATGAGAATACTCTTTCGTAAGCCTTATTAGGAGTACGGTGATATAAACAATATACCGCTCAGCATTATTTGGGAGTATGATGACAAAAAAAGATATGCCACAGTTGTGCCTGAATAACATCGGCCATTCTTAAATATTAAAAAAGCACCAATATCGAAGACACTTTATTTTATGATGTTAAAAGATTCCAAAACAACAACAGTGACTTATATGAAAGAAACACATCTTTAAGTAATCTGAAAACTAAATAAGATACATGTGTATCCTCATTTTGATGTGAAGGTATAGAGACAAAAAAAGAGTAGAAAAGCAGCAGCTACGTGTGCCAAATGCATGTAGGGAAGTAATGCTTCTGAACCAAACGGCTGAACAATGTTTCGTGTGAGACTGAAGGGTTTTACCTGCATTTTAGGAAACTTTTGAGATATTGGTAATGAAAGTTGTAAATGAAAAAGCAGATAATAGATAAGATTAAAAGCAAAAGCTGATAGAATCTTTTCATAAAATGAAACAAGCATAAACGTGTAGTGCGAGGCAGATAAAACGCACAACAAACCATAACTTGTAACATTTCACGAAACGCAGATAGAACCTTTTCATCTCATACAATGAAAAAACTAGACAATTCTGTGGCACACTACACACTGCCAATCAGCGTGGGCAACACAAAAAATATTTTGCTTCACAATGTCATTTCAACCCCCCAATCAAATCAAACACGTAGACATCCTGGGCACATAAAAATTCTTGATTGTGGCAAACTTCACATGATGCAATAAATGACCCACATAACCATTGCTTGATTCTTGAAAATGGGAGAAAATGTAAAAGAAAATAATGCAAAAATCCCACTATTACGAAATTACACAAAAGACTTGTCAGTTTTCGAAGGTGTATCAATTTAATCAACAGGGAAACGAATCATGCTTAAATATGGGCTGGAATTGTTTGGCATGCTGCTCAGCCATCTGTCACATTCATCAGGCAGACTACCTTCTATATACGGTCGAAATAGTCCAAGACCCATTGTCCAGGAGAAAAGTGATTGTCTCAGACAAATTTATGTCTTGGACTGTGTCATTATAACATAGAAAAGAGGGGGGAAAATGCATGGGAGGGGAAATAAGGAGAGGTAGTTTGTACAGTACATATTATGATAGTCTTGGACATGTGGCCATCAGAGCAATTATTATGTTATGTAAGAGGCGGGGGCCTCCGAATTTAACGTCTGTCTCCCACAGGACCAAGTCAAATAGGTTGAGAGCCTTGAAAACTCCACTATGTTCAAGAATACCCAGTCTGGAATTTGAACCAGTACCACCTACTTCGTAGCTCAGCATGATACCAATTGAGCTAAAGGAGCATCCAAATATTCCCCTAACATGCCCACAGTACACATTTAGTTTTAGTAAGAGTTATACAGTACTGGCAACAAAATTGGGTCATATAAGCGCTGAAGATTAGAGGTGTTACTACATAGTAACATACAAATAAAAGAAGGAGGACAGATAAGGACAATAGGTGTTTGACAGGAAAGAAGGAGCAAACCACACCACAGCACCCGCCAACCAACCACCTACCCTTATAACACATTCTCACATAACTTCCAGACAGATGTATCTCTTGTTCACCAACAATGCACGACCACTCTTTAAGACCTTATGATTCAGCTCACAAACCACAAAGCATAGCACATGGGAACTGGGATTTGGGGTAATTTTCTTTAATGATCGATCACATTTAGAACAAAACCCTTTTGGTTTGTTCAAATACTTTTATACATACATGTTCAGTGCCATGCCGCAACATTTTTCTGGCCAGTTTCTTTCCGAAATTTGTAAGTCCCCTGATATGTATGTAAACAGCATGCTCACAGTGCTTTCACTGCAACCATAAAGATACACAGAGACAGTAGAAAAGAAATTTTAAAAAGACTTTTCTGATTCCTTTGCACAACAAAAATTTAAATCTCCCAACAAAAACCCAAAAAAATATTCAGACTCAGAGTTTGTGTTGGTTTTAAAATTCAAGATGGCGGATGCTCTAAAGCACTGAAAAACCGAGGAGCACGTTGAAGGTTCAGATTGTGAGCAAAGCTATAACAAAATTAGTTCATAAAGAATTCAGCAATGATCCCCCCTCCCCTTTTTCCAAAAACAAAGATTTCCCAAAAATCTCTACTCTATAGGTGTCAAGCTGAGTTTCTAACAAGAAAGCAAAACAAGCTGAAGGAGAGAACAAGCAAAAATAAAGAAACCACAGCAGCCCCAAAATGTTGATATCCTCTTGCAGGGCTGATATGAAAAGAAATTAGTTTCCCATCGTCGTTAGAAGTAAGTCTATATTCTTCCTGCAGTGTCCCAAACAAAGAATAACAAACTGAAATTCCTATCTAAATATTCTATCTACAACAGTTAGACTGACCTGACTACATTACAAGGGCAACATGTTAGAACAAAAAAGGTTTTCACACCCTCTGTCAGTACATGAAGCACCAACATACATTTAAAACTGAACCATCAACCAAACTGCAGAGCGGGAAAAGTAAAGTTTGCCCCCCCCCCCCCCCCCCCTCCAACCATTTTGAAATATTTGAGTTTGACATATTGTGCAACATTCAGGATCACCGTGGAGCTGCAGCTATGTCTTGTTTTAACAAGAATTAGTTTGACCAAACTGTAATAATGTCATAAAATATGGTGGGGGCGGGGCTAACATTTACTGTTACCCACAAAATATATCATCCCTCTGCGTACGGATCTATTATACAAACCTTCCCCGTAGCACAGCACAAGGTTGGTGGCAAAAAGCATCGCTAAAATATGGACAGGACAGAGGCACACAAGACCATGTGTCACAGTGGGCTATCAACAGTTTATATCAGTGGGAGGGGAAAAACATCAGACTCCAGAAAAACTGGTTTTTACACAACATAGAAAAAAAATCCCAACTTTCAGACTACACATAATGTTGAGTCTTACATTTTATGATTAGGATAAGACACTGGAAGCCAAAAGCAAATTTAAAAAAATAAAATTTGACTTGACTAGTTTGCCCCTGAAACCACCGACATATTACCATTGTTCCAAGTGGGTTTACCTAATTTTGTTGATTTCATAGAACTTCTCACAGATAACAATTTTGTTTGCTTCAAATAAAAATTTCACTTTGACAAGTCATGAAAGTTGGTGGTGCCAAAGCAAGCATTTGGATGAAAAGGAAGAGAGGGAGAGTGATTTTTTTTGGGGGGTGTACCTTTGTCTTTAAAAACAGCTATGAAGGAAAGAAATAGTCAATATTAGTCAGGCAGTACATCTGCTTAATAATGGTTTCAGGTACAAGAAAAAACTATAATGTATATAACCCCCAAAAAGAGTTTTGTTTTTTTCTACAACAAAAGACACTCTCCCACACATACACACATCAACTTGCTCACAAAGTGAAGAGAACATTACTACATGAACACGGTAACCTCTGGACCAAAGCCTTTGTTGAAAATTAGAGTGAGGCATGTTCACAAGCCTCATTGAGAGTGACAGCCTATGGAACCATAAAGAAAGATGCCTGTTTTGGAATTTTTCCCAATGGAAGGTTCACAAAGTTAATGAATTATAGTTGATACGTCATTTATAACATCCAAAAAACAACTACATTAGGTTTACAGAATGCCTCAGAAACCTAGCGAGTAGTGCAAATTTTAGACAAGAGACTGAAGACCAGTCCCAGCTGGAGTTCCTTGGAGGCTTCATGCGTTCAAAGACTTGGGGACACTCACATCTAATAATTAAAGGCATCCAACCTCATGCAGTTCTCCAAGTTACTAGACCTACAGATCCCAACACCATAGAAAGATGGATGTTACAGGGAGAAGAATTAAAGCAGGGTGGGGGGATGTTCCCAGAAAAGTCAAGTCATGTTCCCAGAAAAGTCAAGACAAGTCAAAGCTGATAATTTAACATAAAAAGATAAGTTTGTTCGGGTGAAAAATAAGTACATCAATGTGATAAAGGTGTGTTAGTGCAGGAAAAAGGCGAGACAGACAGCCAGACTGACAGAAACAACAGATGGAAAGGAAAGAGGTAGGACTGACCGGTGAAATCCTCCAACCACACGTACGAAGAGATAGGGACCGTCACATTAACAAAAGGAAAGGGAGGAGAGAGAAGTTGTTGCTGTATTGAAGCTTGTGCCATCCTGACAACAGCCACATTTAACCACAGAAGGGAAATACGATAACAGTAACACACAAAATAATAAGGGCAAACCTCATCTTAGCACTCACAAACACCCTCCGACTCCGACAATGAAGTGGGGCAGAGAGAACAAAAACACAATGAAAACTTGTGCACGAGTTGGAAGAGACCCATGGTTAAATTATCATCTACAACAAGAATGTTTGAGAAGAGTTTCTACGTCTCTCAAGTAGGGACCCCTAGAGGTGCACTCCACACAACACCAGTCTCAAGGCAGGCGAACACTTACACACACCAATATACTTGCTTACAGACATAACCAGCAGACCACAGAGTGGAGATAGCGCAGAGGGTATGGACACAGTAAAACAAGTAAGACTGAGAGACCCACTAAATACTTTTTTTAAAGAGGAAAAAAAAACTGAGAGAAAGAAAAGAAAAGAAAAGAGAAGAAAATAGAAATAGAAAGACGTAGAAAACAGAAAGAAAAAAAAGGGGAAAAAATGCAGAGTAGACATAGAAAGACGAAGAAAACAGAAAGAAAAAAAAGAAAAAAAATGCAGAGTAGACATAGAAAGAGAGAATGCATATCCCACAGATGTACACACTGACAGACACACACAGGCATAATGAGGGACAAATGGTGTGGCCGCGTAGCCTGCCCCTTCATGCCACCATCTACTGACCTTCTGCACCAACAACATGGACAAGTGACTGGCTGCCACATACTCCTCATGCCAGCTCTGAAACAAGGATTATGGCCACTCAGCTCACGTATCACTTACCAGGTACATCACGTATGGTATAGTACCAGGCTCGCAGGTATGGAAAAAAGCTTCAGAGGCATCTATAAAGGCATATCTCACTACTGTCACCGTAAAAAAAAAGTTACCATCTAGATTTTTAAGTGCTTTAAAAAATAAATTGCAATGACATGATGATGATTTTCGATAAAGTGCTACCTTCCCCTGAGGATGAACTAACTAACATACAGCACTCACCACTGGATGAAACCATTTATGAGTTGAATAACATTTGTGGGCAGGCACAGAGTAAAAACCGGTTCAATACTTTAATGATAAACTTGCGGTACAAGTCAGCATCAGACTAGTAAGCTAGTCCAAGGGGGGGAAGGGGGTTGTAGTTGTCACAGAGAAGCTAGACAGTTCAGGAGTCAGCAAAAGCAAGACAATAACAGTAGGGGAAAGAGGCTCCAGGTAGGAAATAGAATAGTAGGGAAAAAATAAAAGCCCCCATCCTTCCTGTCAAATTGCTTGACCTTATACACAACTATCGACGTTGCCATGGGGGTCACAGTGGAGTCACAGTTAAGTCTCACAGGAGCAGGAAACAGCCTGCTGTGATTGTCGCGATCCCCAAAGACAGGAGTAAAGGCTAAACTTGTTTTTTACCTAGTAGTTATAGTAGTACACTCAAGCAAGGCAGAACACCAATAAACAACAATAGGCAGTAGTCTTGCAGGTTTTCAGTACAGAAGCAGCCGAGAGCACAACCTCGAAATGATAGGACACAGTAACAAAAGTCTTTAAAGCATGGGAACCACAACTGCTGCAGTAAGAAGGTCAATAACCCCTGAAGAAGTAAGGCCAGTTAAATACATTTTCACAGGAGGCAGGGATCCAATAACCTTTGCTAAGGAAAGCTGAACAAAATAAAAATTCGCAAGTGATTCTTCGTGCATATGTTCTTGTGTGTGTGAACTAGGCGTTAGTAGGGATTGGGACATATGCGCACATCTCTTTATATAAGTTTAAAAAACACATATACAGAGGTGATTATGAGAAAAAGAAATACCTAAACACACTATACATCTTCTTTCTTGACGAAAAGATATAGGCAATGGTTATTTTCAATCTTTAAAAAAGGCATATCACAAACAGCCAAGCTAAAAAATTATATTGAAAAAGAACAAATAAACAAAAACAAAAATACAGCGACAAGAAGGCATGACGCAGTCTTCTTTTTCCTGAGACTCTTTTGTTTGTTTTTCTTTTAGGAGAGGTTTTACGGCGCTCGCAACTGCATAAGGTCATATGAGGGCCAGAAGATTAGAGGTGTTACAAGAGAGTAACAAAGATAAAAAAGGAGGGGAGATAAGGACGACAGATGTTGGATAGGAAAGAAGAAGCAAACCACACCAAACACCCGCCAACCACTCACCCCGAGATTCTTTAGAGAAATGTTGGAAACAGAAATATTTCAAAGACACACTGACCACAATCCTTTTAATCCCTTCTCTCCTAACATATTCCAGGACAAACAAATATATTGACTATTTTGACCAGTAATATAGATTTACATGCTTTCAGCTGAGTGTTCAGGTATAACTTAGCCTACAACTCTCAGTACAGATGACTGTGGGAGAAACAAGAGCAGCCTCTCTCTCTCAAATATTCACCATGTACAGCTAGATTTATTTCATTAGAACATTTGGTCTACAGTCAGGAGACAGCATTTAAACTTCAGTGAAATTTTCACTACAGTTACTGAGAATCTGTAAAACTCAGTACTTGTATGTACAAAAATTGTGTATGTTAAGAGAAGCAAAATGGTGAAGGCTATTTCCAGCCTCACATCTCAACAGTATATATTCACATTGCTGCCAACTTTTCAAAACCAAAATACAGAATCTATCCAGCGGTAAGACGGTGGGCACTGGCCATGAAACTTCCTCCAAGTGTTTCATACACACTTTTCTGAATTCAATAAAATCAAGCTATTCAAAGTACACCTACAGCAACAGATCTCAGCAACTGAATTGTGGGCTTCTTTCTCATTATCATTTGCATATCCAGTCTTGAAAGTTCGGAAAACAGATAATAGGCCTTCAAGACAAAAACGGACTTCCATACTCAGACCCTGAAATAAACGTATTAAATACATTTTTTACGTACTGGTTGGCGTCTAAGTATTCCGATAACATGAACTTGGTGGCGGCATAGCACTAAACAGTGGAAGTAATTTTTTTTTTTCAACCCTAAGACTTTACACTCTTTCCTTGATATGTGTTGGCCAAAGGAATTACACAACCCTCACCCAAGCTATGTATATCAAAAATCATAGTCATTAGCTTATATCTAAAGGAAAATGCAATCGGAAACTTTTTTTAAAAAGCTATAAGAAAGCTTGAAGCATCAAAAACTGTTTTGAAAGCAAAATGGAGAAGGGCTTTAAAGAGAAGGGAAAAAATATCACAAACAGACCAAAAAAAACAAACTACTGCAGCTGAGAGTTCCCACCTGAACAGACCTCTGGGCTATGCCAGACAAAAATGGTTACACACAACAATAAAGGATTCACTTAGTCATTTTGTCAACATAACAACAACTCAATACAACTATATTAAGAAGTCAATTATCAATCAGAGGCAGGGTATATCGATAAACAAACCTGAACAATTCCACTTCATCATAAGAAAGTTGTAACATCCAACAACAGTGGGGGTTGATAACCAGAGAAAAACAGAAAATGTAAAGTAACTCCCAACCTCCCCCCCTCATTTTAATATACTGCACAACCCACAGGGTCACAGTGGGGTTACAGTTTTGTCTGACAGGAACAGGAAACAGCAGACTGTGATCATCGTGACACTTGAAGCTATAGGAGGTTATACTTTACTTTTACTGCAAAGCTCAACTCATAACAAATGAATGCGAAAATGCTGCTCCTGCAGAGCAGTCCAGACGGTCGAACAAACGAGCAGGTTGTGAACTCACCCTCTGCTGTATGTCCACTAGCTCAATCACTTGGATGGGACCGTCCATGATGACACGCACAGACACACAGCCCGAGCCCGGCCGCAACTTCTGCCTTGACACCATGGTGTGTCTCTGTGGTGGGGCTGTCGGCTGTATCTGGGGGTCGGTGGGTGCCGGGTCTTGACTGTGTCCAGGTCCCAGCACTGCGATAGCACCTACGACGATAAGGCAGTTTGTTTGAGCAAAGAAATGCATATCGACACAGTAAAAGTCATTTTGTGCAACAAAAGGCAAGACAGACAAACAGAAACAACAGAGGGGAAAAAACTATAAAAAATAAATGGGATCTCTACCGCTGGCATCTCCAACATCTTCGATACATCAAAGATAAGACATAGAATAAAACACTTTATCAATCCCTCAAGGGAAAAAACTTCAAACAACTTTTCTAGATGTAAAAAAAATAGATTTAGATCAATGTATTCTCTTGCTCATTCCTTTCCAATCATTTGTGTTTTACCTTTATATATGTAGGAAACAGGAGTCTCAACTCTGTAAAAAGGTCGAATTAGATCTAAAGCTATCCTTTTATTCATCACCGGCTTTAGATTTATTGTGGTCACAGACTGTTATAAAAAATACTACGATCAACACTAAACTCTGAAGTATCATTATCTTCACTGTCAAGCACAGAAAGACACAGTCGGTCTAGATAAGATACATACTATTCTTTACTACAAAGGATTACCCTCAATGTCTACTGAGTAGACATGCCGGCTTCAAAGAAATAAAGACCCTTGGCAATCTTGAAAAAAAAAATGCGTCCATTTCTAAACAAATTTATTTACATTGAGATTCATAATGTATGTTATTTTCTCTTACACAAATGCAAAATTCGAAGAATAAATCTCATTTTGATGACACACTTCTCTCAATACAACTTAACAAAGAAATCAACTGTCAATCAGAAGCAGGGTAATTTAACAAATAAACCTAACATCATTAACATAACAATAGTTCTCATTTGTGGTCGTACCATCTTGTAAAGCCTTGACTCCTCCCACTGCTTGCACACACATCAGTCCCGCATGACAACACAACTGGCCTTGCTGGAAACAAAGAGGTACAATAATAAATAAAAAGAAATCTGCATTATGTCCTCCACCTCCTCCTCTGTCTGTTGTAGAGCCATGCTTTAAATTTAGTCAGCACAACTAACCATCAGCTTCTCAGTTTACCCCCCCCCCCCTCCCCCCTTTTTCTTTTTTCAACACCCATATTAATAAATACAACCACATCTCATATAAGACAATAGAAACTGGATCAGGAAAACGTTTACTTACCAACTCACAAACAGAGAACCTTGTGCCCTTTCCTTTTCATAATTTTCCCAAATATCAAAGTTATACAAGTCTGGATGTAAATTTAAGCAAAATAGAAATCTCTTTGAGTTAAGACCTGAAAGCATCTTTCAGCAATAGAAAGCAAAATGAATTATTTAAAAAAACTATTTAGGAGATAAAACAAAAGACAGCATTAGTACTTAACACTTTATGAGAATCACTCATGAGTACTAAAGCCTAGAAATGTACTCGATACCAATTGCTTGGTATTGATAAGAGCAAAGTTCTACTTACAAACATTCTTTTCAGTCTTAATCAGAGCCAACAATACCATGTCATTTATATCAGAACCACTTATTACAACACAGACACTTCAAAAGCTGATTTTTCAACAGTGTCATTGTAAGGATTTTACAGCCCCAGCAACACTATTTGTGTCATGACGTGGTGGAATCAGGCGCTCGTCAATTTTTGGGCATGTAGAGTTATTAGAATCATCTCAAAGCTTATTTATTCGCCTCGCTTCTAATGAAACAAATATCGATTTATCTTGGATAGAACTCAAGATATTTGCGATTGAAGGAAGTGAGGTCGCCTGGTGTAAGTGGTGAAATTAGCGAGTAAATGGCCGCCAAAGGTTGGTAAGTCCAATAGCTAAAGAGTCTTTGAAAACTGAAAGATGACATATTTTGTGCCTTTAATAAATGTTTTAAAGTAAAATTCACATGGAAATGTGTTTTTAAATGGATGTAAAAGAGGTTAAGCCAAAAAAAAAAAATTCGATAAAAATGTCCAAACTGGCGGAATAACGCCCGTTTCTCCGATTTTGTTATTTTGATGAGCGCCTGATTTCACCGCGCTGCCTCACATTTAGACAATTTTCACAGCCGGTTTCTTAGAATATTCAACGGTAAAATTGTCCTCAGATAAACTCTAGCTAGAATACAAACGAAAAAGCCCCATGCTCCGTATATCTGAACCCTTGAGTACCTCTGTGAATCTCCACGTCTGTGTCGATCGGCGCCTTACGTCCGGTTTCCTCAGGACCAGCGGCACCGACTGACCTGGCCTCGGGGCAATGTCAGCAATGTCCAGGACAAGTCCTGGCTCACTTGCAGTGGCCGAGCTGCGTGGGTCGCGGGGTGGCATGGAACCCTCATGCTCCAACATGCCTGAGCCCGTCATACGCCACAGCTGGGACCTCTTACTCTTCTCCTGTCACAGTAGAGAATCCAAGGTTATAATAATAATAATAATAACAACAACAGTAATAATAAAACTAGTAATGATTTCAACCACAATTGAAACCAGAAATAACAATAGTACAATTGTGACGTTCCTATCAATACTTCCATTAATAATAATAACAAAAACAATAACAAAAATAATGATAATAATATAACTACAACTACTACAACTAATATGACAACAACACTAATAATAATAAAAACATCCTCACAGTAATGGCTATTTAAAGCAGGGAAAAAGTAAAACATACAGACAGAAATAACAGAAAGGAAGAAAATAGTGAGAACCACCAATGGTGCCTTCAAACCACTTACATAAAACACTCACGCAAAAGACTCACAGAGACAATAGCAGAGCATTATGGTCCACTACTCACCTTCTTTTTAAACACAATGTTGTTGTTGTGGACACAGTCCAACACCAGCTCATGGCACGCTCCCTCCCAGTTTCTGGGGAGGGCACAATCATTGTTTCTCAGCATATAAACAATGACAGAAAATTAAGCAATTATGCTTTTTTTTAGGGGGGGGGGGGGTGCATATTTTCTTGGCCCATGTTGTTGTTGTTTTCAATCCCTTAAGTTGCGAGCATTTCGCACTAAACTAAATTCTTGGCACATAAACACAGACAGAAGAATATAATAGTAAACAAACTCTCATCAGAAAAAATTATTACCATCTTGAACATCTCAAACATAGTCCACAGTTAATGAGTTACATACGCGATTGTAACCATGAGACCAGAGTCTAAACCATACAAATACCCGGCTTAAATCGAAAAGCGTCTTGTAAGGAGGCGAATATTGACACACTTCACAAATAACCAGTTATGACCCCAATGATGACTTCCAAAATGACCACTTATGACATGACCACGATGATAATCATAATTATGACCTTAGAGGACCATAGTTATGACCACAATGATGACCGTTGATGACCATAGTTATGTCAATAGCACAATGATGACCATAGTTATGACCACAATGGGGGACCTCGGCAAACCCTGAAGAAAACGAAATCAACGACAGGCAAAACTCTCAGCAAACGAGAAGAAATAAAAATAGCCAAACGTTTTCGACCATTTTCTGTCCTCATTCACACACAGCACCATCCCCCACCTGTCAAAAGTAGCTGTGGCAGCTAAGTAGATAAAGTTCTCGTAGTGGAGCTGTGCTCCCTCCTCCAGCTTGTCCAGGGCGTACTTGGCAGAGGTTCCGCCCATCACACTCAGGGTCAGCATGAGGGGGCGGAGCGTCGGCTCATCCCAGGCATATGGAACTACAAGAACAACAAGAAGATCCAGTAAGGCATTTTTTTTTTTTTTAAATCCCTTGCCCATTTATATTTGACGCCATCTGATTAGTAGAAAAAAATGCATATCTCAGTGTCTAGTAGTGTATTACGTGCATAATTAGTATGACATGTAACTGTTACAGATAGAGATTCAAGGATTATAGATGTAAGTTAATCATCTGCGAGCAATGATGAATTTAGAAATAATGGTGGTGATGAGGTGGTAAGGCTTCATATTATCATCCACTTGTGCAGGAAAAGAGAAACAAATGAATTATAACTATTTGGGAAAAAAAAAAACTTTCACAAATCATACCTAATTCACTTCTTTCACTTGGGGCGTGAGGCTAGAAACTGAAACATTTCATTCGACCTGAGACAAATGGCCTTACAAATTTTGCTGATTAAAGACGGTGAAGTCAACAAAGTCCATGTAAAATTAACCCTTCATCAGATCTTGTTGGAGAATTAAAAAGAAAAAAAAAGACATTTTAATTTACTGATCTGTGTATATAGACTTTTTAAAACAGTATCTGTTCCCATCAAAATGCTCATAGGACCATGTGTCAGGGGTATGCCACCTCCCAGTACCCCTGGTCTTCCCCCTAACTGTCGTAAATAATACAGCGTTCATGTAGTTGCTTATGACAAAAACAAACTCACTTGAGGTCTGGGGCTGTATGAAAGTTTTCAGTTTCTCTTCCTGGGCTCCAGTCTGGTAGTAGAGAACTGGCACCTAAACAAAGAGATAGTGAGTGAATGAGTGAGTGAGTGAGCAAGCAAGCACAGGAGTGGGTGGGTAGGTGTGAGTGTGCAAGCGCATGTGAGAAAGAAGGGCTGGGGTGGGGTACAATGGGATGGGAGGAGGAAATAAAGGCGAAAATGAGAGACAGAAAAACAGAGACTGCCAAACACACAGAAAACGAAAATGAGCCCTAAAATCTCTCCATAAATAATAATATAAGAAAAGCAAGAACAAAAAAAGAAGTAGGAGAAGAAAAAGAATTTTAAACATAATAGATATGATGACTATTAAAATTTTAAAAATTTACTAATTATAAAACAGCATTATTAACGATAATGATGGAGATGAAAATCATAATTATAAACAAAGCACCCTTTAAAAAAAGAATACTGTGCATCCACAAAAAAGAGCGAGTAGTAAAATGAATTTCAGCTGAAATTATATATTTTCCCATCAAAGCAGTTTAAAGATTAAATGTAGAATGAAGTCCTCCTCATTCCATTACTACTTCTTTTCTTTCCTTCTGTTATTCCGGTCTTTTGGCTTTGCACAATCAGCAAGCAGACCCTTTCATGGATCCTAAAGAGGAGGGAGGAGCAGCTATGGCATGTGCCACCTGCAATGATGCCTATTCTCCAACCAAGTAAGTAAACAAGGCTTTACTTTCTCCTTGCGCGGAACAACTTTTACTGTGTCACTGTGCTTCTCTTTACTTAAACTTAAACAAAGCTCACATCACTGAGGTTATCAATCCGGAAAGGAGGCGGCATCACATCGGCATCAGCAAACACAATGAAGAAGGTTGGCCCTTGTTGGACGACCTCCACCTTGAGCAGGTGACACTTTCCTGTGTTGTCCCTGGAATGAAAGTTGTTTGTTAGTTTGTTTGAGTAAACAGAAGCACATCAAAACAATAATGGTCTTGTTACTGCAGGGAAGGAGCCAGATAGACAGACAGAAAAAATAGAGGGAAAAAATAGAAGTAGAACCAATCAGTGGCTCCCTCCAATCAGCGAATAAAAAATTTAGAGATTTTGAGCCAAAAAGTCATTAGCTACTTTAGTTTAGTTTTAGTAAGAGTTTTACGGCACTTGCCACACAATAAGGTCATATAACTGCTGAAGCCGATAGATGTTTGATAAGAAAGAAGGAGCGAACCACACCAGAGCAAACCCCAACCACCCACATTCGCTACTTTAAATGGGATTTGTAAATAAATTTCCTGTACAAATACAAATATTATTACATTTTTTTCAGTATTTGTTATGTTCTCTCATTATCGTTTATTCATGCTGCTCTGTTCTGTAACAATTTTATAACTGTGTGATGTCACCAATGTGTACAAGGGTGTCTGGGTAAGTTTTGTGGGATTGTCTTTACTCAAGGATGTACTTGGGAGAGAGAGAGAGCTAGATAGAGAGTATAGAAGAGAGAGAGAAGGGAGGGAGAGACAGACAAACAGACAGACAGACAGACAGACAGACAGACAGACAGACAGACAGACAGGCAGAGAGAGAGAGAGAGAGAGAGAGAGAGAGACCGAATGAGAGAGAGAGAGAGAGAGAGAGAGAGAGAGAGAGAGAGAGAGAGAGAGAGAGAGAGAGAGAGAGAGAGAGAGAGAGAGAGAGAGAGAGAGAGAGAGAGAGGGAAAGACGATTACTATAGGAGCTGTGCGTTGCATATTGTTCTTTGTTTGTATTATTGTACAGCGCATTGAGCACTTCTTTGTGGAAATGCGCTATATAAATGCAATTTATTATTATTATTATTATTATTATTATTAGGAAGAGGTGAAAAAGGGAAACCAAGTTTACCAGGCTTTTTATTCATTTTGAGGTATCTTTCTCTCAGAGAGAAATTCCGACCAAGAAACACCCGAGAAAGAGATCTGGAGGTAGATCTTAGGCATAAACGGTACAGCAGGAAGGTGGAGAACCCAACACCAGGGTGAAAGAAGCAGAGGATAATAAACTATTGACAAAGAACACTATATCAGCATTGCACATATATATAAAACACAAACTACAACTAAGAAAGTTAGCTTCATTTGCACAATTTCTACTCATACCTCAAATCTGTTGGACTCTTTACAAGTAAAAAAAAAACATTGTGACGAAGACAACGACACAAAATGCAAACTAAATAATGTGTCTAAGATGGCTGTATGAAATGCCTGATCTTGTCACCCACCTCATATTGATGTGGAACGAGTCGATGCGGTCAATGTGAAACCCGCCCGACCAGTGGCACTGCGGCAGGTCCAGATTTTTCACACACAGCAGTTGGTCCAGGTCAACCCGAGGCCAGTGGAAAGGCAGCTTGCAGTGAGGAAGTGCAGTCAGGTAGTCGGGTTTGATTGCCTGTGGCAGGGTAAAACATTTAGGTATTTCACTTCTTTCAACATTTGCGTTAAATCTGAACGTCTTTTTTTTTTTCTTCATTGTAAAAAGGTCGAGTCATATCACTTCATTTTCTGACTTTGTTTTGTTTTAGTAGAGGTTTACGGTGCTTGCAACTGCATAAGGTCGTATGAGCGCCAATTTCCTGACTTTGTGTTACATCTAAATAGTGTTTTAATAATACCCATCCAAAATTCTTAGTTCACTGTGTACATTTCATGTCTCTTTCAACACAATTCACATATTTACTAGAAAGTGAGCTGTTTCGACCCTACCACTCAGGGCCAACCCGGACAGAGTTATATTTTTTTTATAGTAGAGGGTTTTACGACGCTCGCAACTGCAAAAGGTCATATGAGCGCCAAGGGGTGAGTGTCAACAGAGAAGTCTTTACAGGGAATCAGACTTAGACTGCTCACCTCTCTAGCTTCAACAGCACAAGGTCTGCTTCGACTATCAAGGCACTCCAAAATAGCAGGTCACAAGAGAGTGACAAACATACAAAAGAAGTAGAGGAAAATGATAATAGTAAGGATCAGGAAAGAAAAAGCAGCAGTTCCCTGTTGTAGACCAGGCACAGTTATGAGCGTGACATGAGTCAGCCCATTTACAATTCTACTATGCTTGAACGAGAAATGTCCCCCCTTTGGTAATGGCCCAAAGACACTACAGTCAGTGGCACTGCCCCATGGGAACCAGACAGAGTGAGAAACAACATCCAAGCAGACGGACAGAGATTATTAATAAAACAAAAATATTGAAAAAATTCCCACTCCGGAACCATAATCCATTCTTTTGCATCCAGCATTCATTCCACCACGGTCACAAGTCGAAATGTTCACGAATGGTTTCTAAAACAGATAAACAACCAAGCAGTTGACCTTTCTCTCGTAAGAATGTTCGCAATTGGTTTCTTAAATAAACATCCCAGCAACTGACCTCTCTCTTGCTCATGAACTGCTGGGCGATGGCCAGCTTGAAGCTTGACTGGTTGTCTAGTTCAAACCGGGGAGCAAAGGTCACGATGTTCGTGCCTCGATACCGACCTCTCCCTGGGGTTACCTGGATGCCAATGGTGTAGACCCTGTGAACACACCAGGCAGACAAAATGGTGCAAAGGCATAAAGGAGGATGAGCAAAATGAAGATAAAATTGGCCGCGTAATTCTCCCTCCATACCCTTCATACACTCTTTTCTCCATTCAATAAATTCAAGCTTCAAAGCGCACCTACAGCGAAACATGTCTCCAGTTACCTAATGACCTTCATTCTCATTGCTATTTGCAAATCCGGTCTTGAAAGTTCCTAATTTTTTACCAACATCGGAAAGTTCGAGAGGAGCAGTACTAGAAACACATATGATATGTAGTTTGCGATAAGAAAACTGACATGTGTACTCAGACCCTAAAAAAAAATATTAAATACGTTTTTTACACACTAGTTGGCAGCTATGTGATATTAAGAAGGCAAGATTTTTCATTCAGTGTCCATCTCTGATACGACTGAGCCGTGGAAACCCTCAAACAACCCAAACTCAAGAACACTCCACTGAGGACTATGGTCGCAGTCATCCCTACTGTAGTCCACCTGAATACCAACTGAGCTATCTGTGTCCTTGTAAAAAGAAGTAATAATAATAATAATAATAAATAGCATTTGTATAGCACATACCCCCGCTCAACAGCAAGCTCTATGTGCTTTACACTATACTGGCCCCGCGGAAAATTGCATTTTTGAAATAGAAAAATTGCAAAAAATTGCAAGGTAAACTGCCTAAAAATTGCAAAAAATTGCAACCTTCCCATCCCAGGCGCATTAATACGGGCTTAACATTTTTTAAAAACATGACAATTTTGAGTACCGGTAGCATAAAAGCAGCACAGCCTTTTCAAAAATCATGACCCACAATACAAATTCATCAAATGTTATTAACAACATTTACTAGTAACAACACACGAGTACGTTAACAATAAAGTTATCAACCAAATATAATATGATAACGCGTGACACAAAAAAACGGAATCCTCGGTTTTCTTAATAACTTTTAAATGAAGGCATAAAATCTGACCAAATTTAGTACATACAGGGTACTTGGTTCATGCAAAAATCTAGAAGTGTATGAGGTTTAGTCTATAAAAAACAAAAAAATTGACAAGGGATTATCGAAACAACCTCTAAATACAAAATAAGCTTATGCTCCAATCAAATCAGATCCTATTCTATTTTTCTCTTGAAACCTTTGATACACTCGTAATCTGTATTTAGATCTATTTCAGATATTTTCTGTTTTAAAACCGGCATGGTATTGTTTTAACACTAAGTCAAATCGTAAAATACAGCAAAGTTTTTATAACATTTATAAACAATAGTAATACATGTACTAATATAGATCTAGATCATTTCTGTAGCACCCATTCCCGTGTGAACGCAGCTTAAGGCGTTTTACATAACAGGGTGTTTACGTACACGGTACGCAGACACCTAGCCTCAGTGTCTACGTACACAGTAACCGGCAACCGGGCACGTAGTCTCAGTGTCACGTGCACGGTAACCGGGCAGTTAAGAATTTCAAGTTCAGTTTTTGTCATCCGGCGTTGCCTTCAGCTCCAGCCCTCCCCCGACTATACCTTTTTTTAAAAAAAATCGATAATTCCCCCATTCCGGAGCTCTATACTTCGTAGCGCACAGACTTTGAATGAACTTTGGTGACCCCAACCGGTACTCACAGTGTGATGCGAAAGCACAGGTTCACTGACCGGTAACGATGGCGAGCCCGACAAGACGCGTGTATAACTTTCTTTTTTTATTTTAACAAGTGACAGCACAGGACAAATATTGGTTTATTTTCATTCCGGTTACCGTGTACGTAGATACTGAGACTACGTGCCCGGTTACCGTGTATGTAGACACATGCATCATGTACGAACAATATTCACGCGCGCTCACACACTCACGTACACCTCACTGAGGCACACACCTACTTTCTTGTCACACGCGCACGCTTACACACATTAGATAAAGGCCTAGCCCAGAGAAGGCCACCTTCTCGGCCTAGCCTATACCTCAGTTTATGTTGTACATGCATTCCGGCCTGAATTTCCGGTAAATAGCTTTTACGCTCAATGGGCTTGAGCTGGGTTGATACCATGATTTACGTAGGCCTATCCGCTCTGTACTCGAACCATTTCGTATTAAAAATTCTGTTCAAATCAAAGCGTTGATGTATTTTTGCCTAAAATTACAAGAAATTGCGAAAATTGCAAAAAATTGTGGGTTTATTGCGGAACTCGACGAAAAACGCGGCCGCAAGACCGCGATTTTCTGGGGGGCCAGACTATATTATTACCCTAGCAGACCACAGAACTCTCAGAAACGTGCTCAGCTTCCCTGGGGAAAAAATGGTGAAATGGCGTAGGTTTAACAGCCCTATCAACACTATTAGGTTATTTAAGAGGGGGAACCTCAGAGTTTAACATCCATCTCAGAAAGGAACGACTCTGAATGAACCAAGCCAAAATGGGAAAGTCATGAAAAAGTGCCTTTCCCAAGGACACAATGGTGGACTGAGCTGAAGTTCGAACCCTGGAACCCACAATCTCACGACTGCGGATCTGGTAGCTTAACCACAAGGCTACCAATGTCACTGTCCTTGTAAGTTCAGCGAGGTAGGCAGATATCTTAAGAGCAATGCTAGTACAGCAACTATCAAAGAGATAGCGTCAGGTGCTCCATTGAGATCTTTTTTTAAACAATGTAATTGAAAAGGGTTTAACAAGAATCACATTGAAATAACAGAAGGAAAGAAAATGAATTCCCCATGCAAGAATGAAATGAAAAGAACAAGGGAGTTCAAATGAAAAGAGGCAAGTGGAGAAAATAGCAATGTGAACTCCCCACTCTCTACAGGATAAAGTAATCAGCAGTAATTAACTCTTACACCCCACGCTGTCCATCATGACCCAGCCTTCATTGAAACAGGCATTGTAGACACAGTCCATGAAAGTGCTGATGCCGATTGGGGATCCTCTTCCCACTTTAAAAAACAAAATGAGACTTTTGGTACCATACCATGAAATACAAATTAAATTAATTTACTATCAATTAAAAAGTTCTGGTAAACATCTCTGTCCAGAGTTTGAGATTCCTCTTATCTACTGAACAGCCTTCTCATGATGCGAAGACAGCCTTTTAATGGCGAAAGCAGCAATCATCGCAAAGAGGAGAATTTCCCCAAGACTCAAGCACCAAAGCAAAAACGTACACCTTCAAAATGAAACTTTGACGGAAATACTGACAAGGAGGTTGCAGTTGGAAACGACAAGAAAGACAGAAGAAGCAGGTGTTTCATTAGGTGTGTGCTTGTGAGCCAAATGTATGCATCTGCGCCCACGTGTATACATGTCCATAGGCATCTTAATATAAGACAATGTTGGACACGATGACTTAGCACAAAAATGGCCACATTGTACTAAAAACAGACTAGGGTCTTAGTCAAAACATTTTTAAAAAGTCAAAGCAAAAGCTTTGGGTTCTGCTCTGAAAAATTTTATCTGCGAATAGATGAGCACTCGTTTCTAATGCCTGCAAATAACTAGCGAATTAACAAATCACTTGCTGTATCGGACTTTGTGCAGGCTGAGTTGATCAGTACACAGCAAAGATTCATTATTCACTGCTCAAGCACGACGCTGCTTGTTTGTGACACCATGAGCCAGCGACGCTTATCTTTCCTTACTCATTTATGACGTAAGTCACAATGTCAATGCAGTCCCGCCAGAGCCTCGCACATCCATTGTCAAGAAATAATGCACATTTCAAGCAAATACTGATTCTACCACCTTGGCGTCCAATGTCCGCAACCCATTTCTCGATTCTGTAATGAATCAGTAAGCCTAGATCTAGGTACACTGAGAAATAGTTCCAACACTATGATATATAGCTATTCCATCTTTAGGTCTAGCCTGTCATGCAGCCACTTCTTGTCTACGAATTTCTATCCCAGTCCGCTCATTTTTTGACTGCACTCTCTGTGCTTGCATGTAACGAATCAGTAGCGAGCGCTTACTACACCACTGCAAAGCAGACCATACTAAAGCACCCACCATTTTGTATCACAAGAGGGGAGTAAAAATGCCAGCAGGTGAGGAACCAAACATGCCCAGAAGAGAACAGTGATGTTGAAGAACAGAACCACAGACTCCCATGTCATGCCAAGATGAGGAGTAGAATTGAGACTGGTCACCGGGTCCTCCGCGGGAGCTAAAAAGCCCACATGATAACTGAGAAAGTGCATGACTTACGACATGTTTCTAGAGCCTTTGATTTGGCCAAAGGCTTTCTTCAAGCGAAACTCTGAGGTTACTAACCAATCAGGGCGATTCTCTTGGTGGTGAACCACGTGCAGTGTGCGCTTAGATGTGCCACCCTCCAGGGAGAACCGGTTGCTCCTGCAAAGGAGGAAAAAAAGAAAACTCATTTGATCAGCAGCAATTCATCCCTCCATTAATGCAAAACAGCTAAGAAAAGATATTTTTTCCTCTTATTATTATTTGCCATCACATGCACCAATACTTTTCTTCAAAAACCTCTACATTCTTTAGTCTAATGCAGTTTTGTCCCTTTCAGCCCCTGCCATTTGTGAGTAAGCACTGAACAGACTCAGTATAAAAGATGATATGAATTGAGAACTGTTCTGCTTTCCAGAATGACACCCATATGTCCAGAAGAGAACCTTTTTTTTAAGAAACTGTCTGTATAACAACACCCCCCCCCCCTCCCCGTTTACATTGGCATGCCACAAACAGACAGATTAAGGAATCAATAACCCTATTACCATTGAGGTCGTCCTTCCAACCTATGAACAGCATTTCCCACTCGCATCTGACACCTGAGAAAAGAAAAGAAAAAAGCTCTTTGAGAACACAGCACATCAACTGACGTCAAACATGGCACTTTTTTCCACAATATTGGCTCTGGAACACACTAAAACCATACATATTAACTTTTCGTTCATTTCACAAAAGCACATCCAGGTGTTGAAATCTACAAAAATTTCATTTCACTTCTTCTTTTCTTCTTCACCACACCAGAGACCATGCCAACCACCTGCTCTTTCCGCTTTGTTGTGTTGTTCATCTGTTGTAGTTGATGAAGACCGGGAAATAATGTAGGGAGGTGCAGATATGTGTGTTTAACACCTTTCCACTCCACTAAGTTCACAACAACAGCATAAACACTCACAAGTTCAAACTCTTCAGCCTCGGAAAAACTGAGCAACGGAGTCAACACTCACAATTTCAATACCATTCCACTCCACTTACACAATTGGTCCATTTTATGGACAAGCGGGCTAACCCAGGTTTCGGGGATTTCCAGAAATCTTGACCTACATCAAAAATGCGCATTGCCCTACCTATAGGAGAAGTCTGGTTTCCTTGGTGGGTATATTTGTTTGGTTATAGAGAAAACTCTCATTGTCTTTTGAAAAAACTGAACAAGGATTCAGAAACTTTACCTTCGATTTCTCAAAACAGCATTTTTCGGGACAGCCCCCTTGTGCTTAAAAGCAACCAATTACAATTAATAACAACAACAACACCTACACTCACAATTTCAGCTTGTACACTCAACTAAAACAGGCAACAACAATGTCTACACTCATAAATTTTCACTCTTCAGGTTCGGAGAAACTGAATAACAGTATCAAAACTCACAAGTTCGATAACTTTCGGCTCCACTTACGAAACAATAACAACTTTTCCAAACACAAGTTTAACAAACAGCCACAACAATGTCTCCACTCACAAGTTCAACTCTTCAGCCTCGGAGAAACTAAACAACAGCGGCGTGACACTACGGGCCTGCTCGTGCTCCTCAAACTGGCCGGCAGCTGTGACCTTTGACCCATCCTGTCTGAAGACCAGGGGCAGACCCGACTTGTTGACCAGCCAAAACTGCGCTGCGATGGTCAGCTAAGCAGGGAAAAGAGGAACAAAATTCAATAAGGATAAAGACATGAGTACCAGTAGAGAATTGTTTGTTTTAGTAGGAGTTCTTTTGGTTTGTTTTTTTAGTAGAGGTTTTACGGCGCTCGTAACTGCATAAGGTCATATGAGCGCCAGAAGATAAGAGGTGTTACAAGAGAGTAAAAAAAAAAAAAAAAAAGAAGGGGAGATAAGGACGATAGGTGTTCGATAGGAAAGAAGGAGCAAACCACACCACAGCACCCGCAAACCACACCAGAGCACCCGCCAACCACCCACTAGTAGGAGTTTTACGGCACTTGCAATACAATAAGGTTATATAAGTGCTGAAGATTAGAGGTGTTACAAGAGAGTAACAAACATAAAAAAAGAGGGGAGGTAAGAACAATAGATGTTTGATTGGAAAGAAGGAACAAACCACACCAGAGCACCCACCAACCACCCACCATGTAGAGAAGAACCCCTCACATCTTCGTAAATTACGACAATCACAACCCCCCTTATTTCCAGTTTCTGTAAGTCATAGCTGCAACCCCACTGTGACCTCAGTTTTTCTGGACTAGGTCAAGCAGTTCAAAATAGAGGGCTATACTTTACTTTTACTGATAACACATAGTGCAGTTCTTTGCTGCTTCTTCTTTTTCTCTTTCACACTTCAACTCAAGGGCAGTTCAAGTTGGGGTATTCATCCAACAAATCAACAGATTGTTATATATAACTTTACATATCGTGGAGGTCATCTAAAAATTATGCAACTCAAATATTTGTTGCTCACCTAATAAAGCAGGTTCAAACGGAGATCACTCATTCTTCTTGTTATAATGACCAATTACAACACTACAACAGCCAAGTCCAGTTTTTTAAAGCTACTATCAAGCATATATAACCTCAGTATGCGGTGGTGTAAATCAAATCATCCACCAGCCATGAGAAAGCTCCGACCCACATGCCCTGCAGGCTCATGAGGCCAGAACTGAAAGAATTCAGTTTGGACAAGTCTCCTCTGTTCCTCTTTATCATCCACCCCATGCCAGTATTTTCATTCACAGATCTATTTTTGTTTAGTAATCCTACCTCCAACTTTCTTCAGAAACCAGAACAAATGGACAGCAAACCAGAAAACAAGTCAGTGAAAGAATTGGATGACTTCCCTTTCAGCAAAACAAATACAACGTCATCACATGCAAAGACTGCAGGGGAAAGAAAGGCACAATCACACAATGGTAATTTTGACAAATCTCATATTTCACATTTGGAACCTCTTAAAGAAGGATACACAATTTTCTGTGTTCATTTTTACAAGTACCCCACCGCTTTTTTCCTTTTAAAATATCATGTCATGTTAACACTGTGTAGTGACACAGCAAGCGGTACAAAATACCCCATCTTGTCAACCAGCCAGGAGAGAGACTGCAACGGACTTCTCCGTCTGGCGCAGAACTGCGCCAGTTGACCAGAACGTATAATTTTCACAGGCGCATTATTGCACCGAGTGACCACAAAGTGTTAAACTGTAGAGTTAGGAAGCAGCCCTTTGCGAGCATAACTCAATATCATGAAAGCTGTGTAGTGGCTTATTTTTAAAACATATTCTTCATATCCAAAGCCTGAATGCCAACAGATGAAACAGTAAAATCAACCACCTCCACCAGTCTCACCTTCATAGATCCCCCTTTGACCAGGCGTATCTTGACCACCAGCTTGAGCATGCGCTTATTGTTATCGTAGATACGCAGGAGAACTTTCTGGTTGCTGCTGTTGGGCGGGATGCTCAGCTCCTTACAGCTCTGGAAATTCTCCAGGTGAATACCCAGCTCCAGGTTCTGGGACACATCCACCTGGGGGAGGGGTGGAGTGCGTTGCATGAGATGAACAGAAAGGGGAATGTGGGGGAGAGAGGAATGCAGTGTGGAAGAAAACGAGGGAAAGGAGCCAAAATGAAGGAAGAGACAGATGGGACTGTCAAAATAGAAAAGGTACCATGGAGTAACAAGAGGCAATGATATTAGGTAAAAACCTTTTTCATTTTAAAGTCTTAGGTACAAGTAGAAATATAAAAAGGAAAAAGAGCTGCGGTAAGCAAAGAGTTTAGTCCTGTAGGGGGATCATATGGCTTACTAAAAGTACCAAGAAAAGATAAAACAGTCCACTTAGCCCTTGGTGGTCAGATCTATTCTGTTTTCTTCGGTAAGATCAAGGTCGAAAACAATTATATCAGAGCATCAATCAGTTCCCAAAGCAAGAAAAAAAATGCAAAAGTAAAGACTAACCTTCTGCTTGTTTTCCCATCATGACAACCAAGGCCTGCTGATTCCTGTCCCTGTGAAATGTTATTGCTACCCAGTCAAGGCTCTAGGTGACCCTAGATGTTACACATAAGGATAAGCAGTTCAAAATAGAGAGGGGGAGGGGGCAAAACTTTACTTTTACAAACAGACAAGTCTTACCCCATGAAGAAAAGCCTCTTTGCCAGCCTTGAGGTTCCCAGAAGCCCCGGTGCCACGGAGGTAGTAGTGCAGCTCTAGAGGCAACAGGTTACACACGGTGATGGGCGGTAGGAGGGTGAGGACGTGACCGGGAAGCGTCGGGTGAATCACTCCGTAGCCCTGGTACTGGGACGATGACATCACTTCTTCCGGAAACTTTAGGCGAGTCACGCACACAAAGAACCTGTTTGTTTGAATTTGTTTGCGTAATAAGCGCTTTTGTTTTTGTAAGCGTTATACGGCACTTGCAACACAATAAGGTCATAAAAGTGCCGAAGATTAGAGGGGTTACAAGAGTGTAACAAACACAAAAAAGGAGGGGAGATAAGAACGATAGATGTTTGATAAGAAAGAAGGAGCAAATCACACCAGAGCACCCGCCAACGACCCACTGTTTGAGTACAGAGTAGCACATTGACACAGTAACAGTCAATAAGTGGAAAAAATTCAGACAAATAGTCATAAATGAGAGAGGGAAAGAAAAGAAGAAAAGTTTGACTTACTAGTTAGTTTTAGTTTTAGTAGAGGTTTTACGGCACTCGCAACTGCATAAGGTCATATGAGCGCCAGAAGATTAGAGGTGTTACAAGAGAGTAACAAACATAAAAAAGAAGGAGGGGAGATAAGGACAATAGATGTTTGATAGGAAAGAAGAAGCAAACCACACCAGAGCACCCACCAACCACCCACTTGACTTACTAGTGGTGTCCTTTAACCAGACCACAAAGAATCTGTTAAACACAAATACAAAACAGGTGATTTGTTCTTAATATTACTTTTCCTCTGTTTATATAATTTAGAAAAAATAGGTACAAGTTATCAGTAACTGAATAAATTGGGTAAAACATGACATGGGCTGCACGGCGGGTTTGGAGCGCCCATTTAGTTTCGGCTGGCGCGAGGCAAGCAAGCCCGCGCTTCCCCAGGTCACGGGGTCATTTACCTGCGCCACCGGGGATTTCCCTTATCAGCCAAACACCGGCAGCGCTCTTGTATTTTTTGCAAAGTTTACCAACACAGTGAGCCAAAGCTAATGTAAGATGAACATTTTAATTAAGACAACGTAAATATTCAACATATTAAGGAAGAAATGAAGAAAATCGGAAGCCCATGGTACATTACACTTAAAAGCTGTGAAGTTCTCAAAAAGGGGACTTAATTTGATAAATGTGTCATGGGTAATCAATTATAAACTTCAATTTAAATGTGATTGCCCCCAACGAATTCAATCAAATTTGCACACAGGACTGAGAACATAATGGAAATTTGTACTCACAAAGGGGCATATACAAGAAGCTTCTGGATCCGTAATTATTCAGGTTTGAAGTAGATTTTTTGCAATACTCTTGCTTTGCGACCTTGATCTTTCATAGCGATATCCACGGTACATGTAACTACAGTACAGATCTTTCCTTGCCGATACACTTATGAAAACACAACCTAAACACAAAATACAAAAAGAACACAATATTGCGGGACTGGAGGACGCTGTAAGCTTTCGTCTTTTGATGGGTGGTGCACACGACAGAGTAGCTTAAGGTGGGTTTGGACGTGTTGTGACTGCATGATTGTTTTGACGTGTTTTTGTTTGTCTTTTATTGCTGCTACTCGTTTTTCCAGCTTGGCCACGGTTGCATGAATGAGCTCAGCCCCTTGCTCACCATGGAAGGCCATTCCAAATCCATATTTTTGTATCCAAGGGATGCAGTGTTTCTCAAGGATGTGTTGTGATGTAGCACATGTTTTACGGCACTATCCACTCAAGACCTTTTATTTGCCAAATATGTTTCTGTATAAAGACATATATCGTGTGATGCATGACTGAATATGTGGCATTCTCTCTATAGTGATTGGCTTTCCATGTGCTATTATTGTGTGGATATCTTTGAAGGTGACTTTTACTTGAACAAATTTCTCTCTCAGAACAATTAATGCAGTGTCTATTATGCTTTGATTTCGTGTACATGCAACTGTTCTTTTTGTTAAAAATGATGTTAGCTGTCTGTACACATGGGCTGTGATTTATTTTTGGCAGTGGTTTCCTATAAATGAACGGCTGTGGTAGGCCTGTGGTGTGACGTGTTGTTTGAGGATGTTATCAAATTCAGAGCAGGCAGGACTTGACCTTGGAATAAGCTCCTCAAACTCTTAACTCTGACAGCTGATCATGTACACTAGAACCCTCCCTCTCAAATCTCTCTGCTTCTCGTGGATTATCTGACAAAACCTGACAGCCCTGTAACAATTGAATGTCCCCCTCGTTTTTTTCAGCCCTCTTTCATTTTTTGCCGTAGATATGCACATTTTGTCCTATTCCAGGCCTGCAATTCTCCATAGATTGATGGACCAGCTGTACATCTATATCATGTGCAGCCTCCTCAAGAAGGCCATGATGTTTGAGCACAATGCCCACCATATGATCATGTTGTGTGGCATTCCATGACAAAAATATTGTTAAAAATGACAACGAAAATCAGATGTAGCAGAGGCAAGAAAACTAAAAACAGTAAGGATGAATGTTCAGAGTGGTGGGTTGGGGTTTTTTTTTAATCACCGAAAATCATAGAATAACTTAGTGCACTTGAAACTTGCACATGTAAATGAAAATTGTCACCACAGTTGATACATAAATTTCTGTTTAAATCGTTGGGGGCCGGATTGAAATATTTAAATTCAAACTGAAAAAGTTCTGAGCATTGAAGATGCCAGTTTGAAAATCACAGACTTACTTAAATCCCTTGTAAAACTGATATAATCGGACTTGCAAGAAAACAAGTTATATCGGCTTACAGGTCAAACATAGCACGTTACAATGAAATCTCAATCGGCCTTGTAGCATTTATAGTTTCAGAGTTAGGAGGCTTTCAATTCGCACTAAAACGCCATATTTACTACTGCCCCGGCACAGGAGGAGTGGCGCTGCGGTCACCCCAATTAACCCCTCTGACAAGTGATTTATGATTACTGGGCTGTCGGGCGGGGCGGGCAGGGTGGTGAGGATGGTCGGGGAGGAACCGGGGAAGAAAAACTAAGTGAGCGGTCTGGATGGTATTTTATCCGCTGTGGCTGACTAAGGGTCAGGAAACAAAAAAAATATTTACTGTACCTGTAGGTGCCATCGCCTGGACCTATCACGTCACAGCAGCGAATGCCGTCGGGCTTCTCCCCAGGCCGCCTCACATGCTGCCAGTCCAGGGGTTTGCTGCAGAAGTGGACTGGCCAGTCCACAGGACGTACTCGCATGCGCATGTGTACGCAAGACAGGGGGACGGGCAGGGCGCTGCCCACAGGGACCTTCATGCACTGGTAGTGGCCTGGAGGGGGACATATGGAGTAGGTATTTTTTGTTGTTGTTGTTTTACAGCACTTGCAACATAATTAGGTCATACAACTGCCGAAGATAAGAGGTGTTACAAGGGAGTAACAAACACAAAAACAACCACACACCATACAGAGTTTAGTGTGAGTGTGCGTGTGTGTGTGTGTGTGTGTGTGTGTGTGTGTGTGAGTGTGTGTGTGTGTGCGTGTGTGTGAGTGTGTGTGTGTGTGTGTGTGAGTGTGTGTGAGTGTGTGTGTGTGTGTGTGTGTGTGTGTGTGTGTGTGTGTGTGTGTGTGTGAGTGGGTGGGTGGGTGTGCATATGGGGGAGGGTGGGATGTTATAAGATAACATGATATGTTTACTGTTTGAATAAAGAGAGGCACATTAACACAACTATTGTCATTTAAGGGAAGGAAAATTACCCCCCAAAAAGACAGACAAGGGAGAGAAATAAAAGGTGTTGGATTTACGAGGGAAATCCTTCAACTACTCATGTTAAAAATGTGAAATAAAAAGAGCCATACTATTCCGTTAAATAAACTGCATGACGTAAAAAAAACTTCAGGGTGGGGAAATCGGAGCAATATGAAATTTGTACTAATCCAAATCTGACAAGGGCAGCCTTGTCTAAAAGTCAAGGTGTTGGGTTGGGAGTTTGATTCCAAACTGCACAAAGCTGAACAGTAAATTTTTACCAGAAGTTCTTTACCCTATCTTCCTTAATTTATGTCACCCCATATGGGTTATGTAAATCAGTATGACAGCGGCAAAAAATCCAGTGCCACAGTTGCTAGCACTTAACAGGCTGCTACACTATGTATCCTAAAAAAGCATGAATCCAAAAGAATTATTACAAAGTTGCATGAGCATTTGGGTGGAAAGGATACAATATAATCATGACTCCAATCGTATTTAAAAAAAACAAAAATACACCTTTTAACTGTTATGCTTAAACGAAAACTTTGAGAAGCAGTAGCTCAAACAAAACCTGTCCACTGACAACAGACATCAAAAGCATCAAGAGACAAGACACAGATGGGAGGGTGAAGGCTGCCAGTCATGTTACGGTAACAGTTTTACAGCACTTTCAACACAATTAGATAATAGAGTGCCGAAGATTAGGGGTGTTACGAGAGAGCAACCAACATAAAAAAAGAAGGAGAGATAAGGACGATAGATGTTTGACAGGACAGAAGGAGCAAACCACACCAGAGCACCCGTCAACCACTCTCTCTCTTTGCCAGTCAAACACTGACGGGTAACACAAACTGACACAAGGCAGCAAGCACAACATAGGCAACACACATAACTTCGTCTCACCCGTCTCATCAGTGGACTCCAATTTGAGCTCCAGTGGACTGTCCAGCCTGTTGTGGATGACCAGAGCTGACCGGATGATGATGAGTTTGCGGGCACCGCCCTCTTGCTGGACCTCCACCACAATCCGTGCCGGGGACACGTGGGGCTGAGGACAGCACACAGTAATAAGGGAAAGTGTTAGCAGTGGTGAGCAGCACAAGGCACAGTTAGGTACAAGCAAATGTGTTTGTAAGTTTAGTTTTAGTTGTAGTAAGAGTTTTACGGCATTTGCAACACAATAAGGCCATATAAGTGCTGAAAAGAGGTGTTACAAAGAGGGTAACAAAGACAAAAAAGAAAGAGGGGCAATAAGGATGTTAGATGTGGTTGTAAGTGTTTTGCTAAGGGAAGGTGGTGTCTCTAGAGGGTCCGGAAGAGACAGAAACATGTGTGGAAAAGCCAGAAGAATATCCAACAAGACGTTAACTGGCACGATCAGCAGGCAGACCCTTTCATGGATCCTGGAGAGGAGGGAGGAGCAGCTATGGCATTGTGCCGCCTGCAGTAATACCTATTCTCCAACCAAGTAAGAAAATAAGTGTTTTTGGAACAGTTAGGTGCAAGCAATTGTGGTTATAAGTGTTTGGGTACAGTTACATAGTAAAAAATTATAACTGTAAAATTTGACTCCCCTCACCCACGCCCGAACAATAGAATTAAAAAATTAAGATTATATAGAAGGTTGCCTTCAATTCTTCTAATGACAACAAGGCCTTTATGTTGATTCAATTGTCCGCTTACGCTAGAAGAATACAATCTTCATTGTAACCTAGAGAACAACTATTCGGCTGAAGTCGCTGGAAGACACAAAAAAATCTTATCTAGGAATTTTTGGGCATAATCTTGAGCTAAAAACTACCAGCAGAGCCATCAGTGAGAAGAGAGAAGCACACCTTCAATGTTTGTATAAATATGAGACCACACATATCACCATGACGGGATTATTTTCTTGTAAACTTCTTTAGTCAAATTTTGAAATAGAGTTTTACAAAAGATGCATTACATTCCTAAACACTAAGGTAAAACATGGAAGACATTTTAACACAAAGAAGATATCTGGTTCCACTTACAGGTGCCTTTAGCTCAGGATCAGCATGTCGGAAATACACTCCTACTTTGTCCACTGTGACAGGGGACAGCCTCTGCCAACCTTCCACAGTCACCAGCAACTGATTCACGTGCATGGCATGAGATTTCTGGAGGGACACAAGAATAAGTGTCAAATAGAAAAATGAGAGACAATATACTGAAAAAGCCTGCATAATATAGGTTTTTCGGAGAGAAGAGATTTAAACTCCCTATTTCTTGGGTTGAGAAATGAGAGGGAAAACAGGATCATCGAGGGCTGAACATTTCAGACCAAGCACTCAATGAAAAAGAAGAGAAATTCATTCATTTGACCGATTTAATTTTATGCATATCTAGAGGTCTTTGGGATATGCATCAAGATTGTAAATGACTAGCAAATAACTGGATAGGTGTGAAATGCTGAATGGGTGCAAGACACATATTTGTAAGGTGGAAAAAGAAAATGATTACTTTTCAAGCACCAAAATTACACTATCAATTCTATGCTCAAAACTGAAAGTCACTCTTCAATGAGTTTAGTCATTTGGTAAGAAAGTAACTCAAAAACCAATTGGGAAACCAATTACCTGAGCCCATAACAGAGCCCATGAATCATTACACACATTACGGCACTAACAGCCTACAAAGAAAACAGCACCTGGTGTCTGAGTTTTTCCCGCCGGTGGAAATGGAAGGGTTTTGTCTCTGATGGGCCAACCCTCTTCCAGTCAGAGGCTTGGATATAGGCTGACTCTAGCGTCTGTGAGCTGTGACCATCACCAGCAAGACTGGGGAACAGGACCAGTTGATTTATGAAAAAATGAAGGTTGCAACGGAAAAAAACAAGCAATTATTGCAGTTAGCATGTGCACCACTTCTAAATTCCACTCTCGTCAATACCAAACAAGACCCTTTTGAAAGTGGGAATGATGAAAAAAAGATCAAAGTACAGTGTGTTTTGACCATTAACATGCAGTGGAATCAGGCGCCCGTCAATTTTTGGGCATACAGAGTTATTGGTATCATCTTAAGGCCTGTTCATTTGCCTTACTTTGAATGAAAAAAATATTGTTTTATCTTGAATAGAAGTTGAGATATTTGCGATTGAATGACCTGGGGGTCACCGGAGGTTGTCAAAGTTTGGTGACTTCCATAACTTGAGAGTCCTTGAAAACTAAAAATTTACAGTTTTTGTCCCTTTAATCAACGTTTTTAGGAAAAATCCACATGGAAAAGTGTTTTCCAGTGGACTTAAAAGATGTTGGGGTAAAAAAAAAAAATTCGATATAAATTGCCAAACCAGCATCAAAATGCCGGTTTCTTTGATTTCAGTATTTTGACGAGCGCCTGATTTCACCACGCTGCCTCACATTCCATTTTCTCTCAGCCTAAAAAAGTGACTGATTGTTTTCCCATTGTTCAAATAATTACAGCATAATGTTAATGAACATTAATGTGTAACAAGCATAGAGGTCAAAAGGTAGGTGATAAGTCCTTCAGAAAGTCATCGAGCCACATTATCTGTGAGAAATAGAATTACCAGTGATCAATCCATGAATGCATTAACACTTTGCCACCTCATTTTGCCCACTGGCGATGTTAACCACCCAGTTTCTTTGGATTTTCCTCAAAATGTGATGGCAAAGTGTTAATCTGGGTATGGGAAAGACAGGGCCTTTTTGCCTTGAGGTAACACATGCCTCTTCAGCTTAAGTCTCTGGTTTGATTCCTGCTTCATGCAGGCACTGCCTCTTCAGCATTAGTCTGTTTGATTCCTGCTTCATGCAGGCACTATCTGTGGCTCAATTTCTTTTTCTCTTTTTGTATCCCTGAACCTAAGGAAGATAATATCAGGCACTAAGCCTTCTTAATAAAGACAACTAACAACATGTGGGATAAACAATAGTAATGTTTTCCTTCGTTTCTCTAGAAAACATAGCAATTTGCACCATGTCAATACATTCTTACGTAACCAACAAATACGGGCATCAAAATCAGGACATGAGACAAACAAACAAAAAAAAGTAATGTTTTCCATTTCCCCATTTTGTTTAACTTGTTTTTCACTTATTGTAAGGGTGTGGTGGTAGCAGTAGTTGTTTTTGCACTTACTTTGAGGGTGTGGTGGTAGCGGTACTCGTTTTTGCACTTACTTTGAGGGTGTGGTGGTCGCAGTACTTTCTTTTTGCACTTACTTTGAGGGTGTGGTGGTTGCGGTACTTTGTATTTGCACTTACTTTGAGGGTGTGATGGTCGCAGTGTTTGTTTTTGCACTTACTTTGAGGGTGTGGTGGTAGGGGTACTCGTTTTTGCACTTACTTTGAGGGTGTGGTGGTCGCGGTACTTTCTTTTTGCACTTACTCTGAGGGTGTGGTGGTCGCAGTGTTTGTTTTTGCACTTACTTTGAGGGTGTGATGGTCGCAGTGTTTGTTTTTGCACTTACTTTGAGGGTGTGGTGGTCGCAGTGTTTGTTTTTGCACTTACTTTGAGGGTGTGGTGGTAGCGGTACTTGTTTTTGCACTTACTTTGAGGGTGTGGTGGTCGCGGTGAGAAACCACAAGTTGCTGCCTGTGTCATTCCGAATGACGTAGGGGATGAACGGTGAACGCTTGTGCTGGGAACGTTCCGTCCCCGTGCGGGCCAAAAGGTGGGAGGAACCCGTGCCACGCTGCTGGGTGCGGTAGTCCTCCGTCCAGTTGCCGCTGGTCTGACGGTACAGGTCGATGAGTGTGGAGGTCAGGTTAAGGTTCAGCACATCAGAGGCTGGGAGCATGGGAAGAAACATAGGAGTTGAAACACTTTACGACCGTTATGTAATGACATGTTCCTATCAATGTTTGCCGTATCTGTGTACAGCCCAGCCAAGCTCTCCTGTTCGAAGCCTCTTCATTACAGTCATAACTCCATCATTCAAGTCATTTTTTTCCCAAGTTATAGGTTATTAGTATGGTAAAAATGCATTATTTACTTTTTTGTATCCACAATATAGAAGCGTTCTGTTTTGTATGCCAAAAATCCAATTATTGAGGCACCTTTCTTCTGCTCAAGTCAAAACTTTGACTTAACTAACAACTGTTTGTTTATGTTTTCTCAAAACAGCACAAAAAATGACTAAGGTAATCATAGAGATGATATGTGTTTGATACGAGTAAAACATCTGGGGGGTGGGGGGGAGGTATCTCTATACAGAACATTTAAGGCGTATAAGAACAAAACTAAAAAATACTGTACCAGCAATCTGCACGGCCAGTCGTTTCTCTGGCTTGGAGTACTGCTTCCACTCAGTCAAACATCTGGGGACAGGCAAAAATGGTAACCATGATATCACGTTACTAAAGATCTGATGTATGTCACTGAGAAATAAACCCTTCGGTATAAACAAATCATTTTTTCTACCTTTAGTATGCATTTTTCAACCCAAAAAATAAGGAGTTTAAATCTCTTCTAGTAATCTCTCACTACAAAGCCTGGGAAATACAATGGCAGATTTGCTACAACATTCAAAATAAAATAGATTTAAATCTTTCTATAAAACTGTGGCTGAAGGCTGCTATGTGGTTTCTCTTCAGGAGCAAAAGAGAAATTATAAGTGGGTCACCATAAAAAAAACCTGTTTTGAGTTATAAGAAACAAATTGACACAATGAAGGCCATTCAATGCAAGGAAAAGGTAAGACAGACAGACAGGCAGAGAAGAACAACAGAAGGAAAGAAGAGAAGTAGGACCTTAGTAAAAGAGTTCAACACTCTCTTCTAACGACTCTACAAGCAGGACCTACTGCTAAAACTTCTGCCTTTCACTCTCCAACCAAGGCAACTACCTGTACTGCAATAAGGAACAATTTATCATAAGCACTTGCACTGCAAACTATACAAAGCTGGCCCAAAGAGTATAAGCAGAGACAAACAACACCAAGCATAAATCAGAAACTCCCTGTTCTGAAATAAGGAACAACTTTTAAGCACTTCCACTGTGAACTATGCAGAGCTGGCCCAAAGAGAATGAGCACAGAGACAAACACCACCAAGCATGAAACAAACAGCTTACCTCCAGGGCTCAAGGCAAGGCTCCCATCCAGAGAGTTTTCTGTTGTAGTATTCAGACACCAACTGGAATGATGCTTTGCCCTCAATGCTTGGCTCAAGGTCTTGCTTGATGCTCAGACCTAGAGATACGTCATAAATTCATTTAAACATATAAAAAATCTTGTGTTTTCAGGAAAATTCTGTGTGGAAAAAAGTTGTACCTTCAACGATTTAATCATGAATCACACTTACATTCTGGAATTAAGATAGGGAGGTTTATTATCATGCATATTCATCTGTCTGCTGGGAGAAGAAATCCCTCTCAGCTTCATTTGGCTCCGACAGGCTGAATCAAAGAAGAATGCCTCCTACATAGTCTGAATTATGCTGATGACGGCGCAAAACACTTACAATTATACATACATCAAATTTTGAAGACTGATCAAACATCTCTAAGGAGAAAAATTTTGGCAGTGAGTTTTAGTTTTAGTAGAGGTTATTCGGCGCTCGCAACTGCATAAGGTCATATGAGCGCCAGAAGATTAGAAGTATCACAAGAGAGTAACAAACATAAAAAAAGAAAAAGGGGAGATAAGGACGATAGATGTTTGGTAGGAAAGAAGGAGCAAACCACACCAGAGCACCCGCCAACCACCCACTTTTGGCAGTGAACGAAGAGCAATACATCTGGGCACTACTCACCATTACAAGAGACTTCAACCAAGGGGATATCTGCATCGCCACAGTCATCAATAAGACAGAGGCTGATACTGTCCGCATTCAGCTGGAACAAGAGAACATGAACCTTGATCACAACACAGACACAGACTTAGTCTACAGACCTTTGACAAAGCATTCCTGGTCAATATTGGTGAGTAAACACTAACCTCTCAAATGTTTTATTCACCAATATATGCCAAAAAGAATTTATCCTGACTTTGTTTCAAAAGAACAGTTAAAAATGAGTCACGGTGTTGTTTTATAAGTAACTTTAATATTTGAACACAGATTTCTTCCAAATTTTCACACAAGGTAGATAAATGGACTGGCTACCCCTGCACACACAAATTAGTAAAAAAGTAGGTCAAGGTGACCTTGAGAGTGAGCACTGTTGATCAAACAACAAAATTTACCCTCGTTGTTCATGGCTGACAAGCAGGATCAATTGTCACATAATTGTGGTAGGCCTCAAAACAGTCTTTACAGCATCCCTTGTTGCAAGCAGGGCAGTAGGTTGTTGTTTGCACTGGTTTGCCTGGCTTTGTGCTATTTCCTTGCTTCTTACACTGAGCGCAGTCACATGCGGCTAAACCCTTATCAAGATATTCGTGTCTCCTTTGCCCAGCGTACAAATTGGTTTAGTTAGCTAATGTCACAAAAAATTTTGCAGAAAATATTCAATAGGTTCTGAGTTTAGATCTAATATTTTAAAGAGATCATACATCTCTGTGAATGGCAAAACATTTCGCCAAGAGCCTGTGCAGTCATGACTCCACCTATCAGCGGGCGTGGCACAAGCACTACCTTCAGCTGTGAATGTGCGCACGTTCTCAAAACTAGATATAGGCCTAGCCCCATTGCTCTTTTCACTATCATCATCTGAATCACAAATTCCCATCAACTGTTGCGCATCAAAATCATCTTCAATAAAGATATCTGACTGATTATCTTCAACATCAGTCAGGAATGTGAAATAACTCAAAACAGATTTTTCTCTGAAGGACAAGGCAACTCATCTTCAGATAAATCACTCATCTTTCTTCTTCAAAGCCACTAGCTCTTTCAACTCCATTATCAAAACTTTCTACTGGGCAAACAAACTTTAACACAGTTGTTTCCCCTGACACAGGCAGCAGAAAGTAGTGATAACTGGAGTCAATTCAGAGCAGCGGTTTTCAGCGGTATAGGATTCTAGGGCAGCAGCGGATAGCAGCAGTAAAGGAAGCTGAAGGTAAAGAGATAAAAATATATCAGGAATAACAAAGTGTAACGTTTGATACAGCTGGCATACTTTCTCGTGTTTGTCTTTGGAGTTTGCCAAAAACTTTGCAGTAACTTGGCTCAATAATGTACCAGTGAAAATTATCTCTTCCGGTCTCTTCTGCACAGCGCCAGACCTGAGAAGTCCATTGCAGTCCCTCTCCTGGCTGGGTGACCAGATGGGGTACTTTGCACTGCTGGCTGTTTGACTGAAAAGTGTTAAATTCAGGCAGTACACCTTCATTTTTGCATTTTACATGAATCAATTAAGTTAATGTTTTCTTGCTGCAGGGACAATAAAGTTAATCATGTCTTTCTTCAAGGATCAGTTGGGAAAATTTTTTTTTGTTTGCACAAAGAATCCCTCACCTCTAGAGCAGTAACCATGAAATCTGACTGCGTCTCTGAACCCAGAGCGCCATCAGAAGCACCCGACTTCCTGTGAGAAGCATTCTGGGACAGCCACAGCGAAGCTTCCTCCACATTCCAGCTACATGCTGCCAGAGCACGCCGCACATCCTGTTCCACAAAGCCCAGGGTCGTCAACTGCTCCACCTCTTCTTCTGTCCGGACAAAATAATGACGTGGAAATGAGTACACATTTGTTTGCAGAAAGACAAGCACATTGATGTTATAATGGTCATTTAGTGCAGAGGCCGGAAGGGAGAAGGTAGACAGACAAACAGAAACAATGGAAAGAAAGAAAAGGAGGACCTACCACACATGCCCTCCTGGCATCTGCTTGAATTACAAATGTTCTGTTTGAGTGAACAAAAGCACATTCACACAACAACAATCATTTAGAAGCGGGGGGGGGAGTAAGGTAGACATGCAGACAGACACACAACGGAGAAAAAGAGAAGAAATAGGACCTACAAGAGACACTGTGGGGGGGAGTAAGGTAGACAGGCAGACAGACACACAACAGAGGAAAAGAGAAGAAATAAGACCTACAAGAGGCATCCTCCAACTACCCACCCACCCACTACTGCCGCCATGTCCATGGTAAAAGATAGGAGCAGCCACCAACCTGTAGTGGATTTACTGCTGCTGCCACAGGGCAAGGAGAACCCCGCCATGGACGGAAGCATGCTCTTTGTGAGGTTGTCTTCAGGAACCATCGTCTCCTTAGCTCCACTCTGTTGTGCCACCTGGGACGAAGCACATTTCTTGGTCGCTGTTGCTGCTGTGGTTGCTGTTCTTGTCGCTGAGGAGGTTGAGGTTGAGGCTGTTGTCGCTGCTGCAGTCGCTGTAGTCTGCTGCTGTTGCTGCTGTTGTTGCTGATGCGCCTGGAGGGCTTGCTGTGGCAGGGAGTTGGCGATGGCCAAAAACATCACCATGTCATGGTAGGACACACGCATGTTCAGATTCTTCAGTAGAATCTGAAAACAAAGGCAAAAAAGGGAGGGGAAGATGACCAACAGGACTGGTGATAAATACCAATAACATCTGTTCCTGTCTAAAGGAGGAAGAGGAGGAGGAGGAGAACAAAAAAAAAAAATCTCCCACACATCGTTCCCTCTAAAAAAGTTCTCTTTCTCTCTCTCCGACACATTGGTCACATAAAATAAAGCTATCTGTCTGTCTCTCTATCTTGTCTGTCTTTCTGTCTCTCTCACACACACTCTCACACACACATACATAAACACTGGTGACAACAAATGTGGTTCTTCTCTCTTATGGTTCGTAAAATTGTAAAGAACAGATACAAGACATCAAGCACATCTGACCTCCAGCACCAAATGCCTCCTCTGTGTGTCTCTGAGCCCCAACAAGCCAGAGGCCTGGGGGTTGGGCTGAGGCAAAGGGTTAGCATTGAGCTCCACACTAATGGAGGTGGGGTCGATGATGGATAGAGCCGTGTCTTCCTCAGCCATGAGACAGCAGGAGAACAACTCCACACTCTGCAACGAGCACGTCAGAACTTTGTCCTGGGCCTGAGGCTTGAAGATGATCACCGCAGAGTTCTGGACAGGATACACACAGATATGTTACAGTTTATTTGTTTCCTGAGTAAGAAGAACATTTTCACACAATTTATTCATTTATCTAGTTAAAAGAAACACAACAACACATTAATGGTCATTTAGTATACCGAAAAAGAAAAGTGACACATACATAAACAACAAAGGGAAAGACAAAAAGCCTATGCTTCGTACAACAAACCCACCACAACAATAAAAACAACACGAAAACAGCAAAATATGAAAAAAGTAAAATGAATTTTTTTATGAGTACAGAACAATCAGCACAAAATTAGCAGAACTGTAAAACTTATCTACACCGCTCCATCAACAGACAGTTTGACAATGGAATAATTAAGAGAAAGTTAGTGTATCTGATTAGTGTCACATGTCTCCTTGTCTGTGATTACCTTTAGGATGACAGCGTTGGTGTCCAAAGACGTGGAGTCCTCCACCACAACAAACTGGGTGTCAGCAAAGTTCAGCACCAGCTCAAAAGGAACTTTGGTCTGAGGGAGAAATAATTAGATATTTTTTTGTCCCTCACAGACAAACAACGTGAGAATGTGTCTGGACATAACAAACAAGAAAAATAAAAGATCCACTCCATTCCCTGCCCCCCTCCCATCCTCTCCAAGAAATGCAATGGAAAACATGAGGAGCAACAAATATCAGAGATACACTCTTTAATTTGCTTCAGTAAAAAATATATCACTCCTCATTTTGTACAAGATCTCAAAAGCCCTCCCTTTTAGTTATCATTTTTTCCTCTTATTGTCATTATGCAACTACCATAGAAAAACATCCAGGTCTATTCTGAACCACAGAAAAGACAAAACCATAACTAGTTTAACCGAATGAATTGAACAAATATACCATCTTCATATATATATCTACCACTGCCTGAAAAATCCAGGTTCATTTGGCACTACTCCATAGCTGACAAAACTATAATCAAAATTTGGCTGACCTCTTCGACCAGGGGTCCTCTCTTCGTGATGATGCCTCTGGAGACAGTGAGAGGGCTCTGATTTCGGCTGGATGGTCGCTGTACCAGTTCTGTCATAGTCTCTGACAGGTGAGTGCTAGGGCTGACATGACCCACTGAGGGGACAAGCAACAAAGATGTTTACATAGAATAAACTTGACGGAGAAGAAGAATGTTTACATAGAACAAACTTGACGGAGAAGAAGAATGTTTACAAGGAACAAACTTATCAGCTATGAGCTGGCAACAACTTATCTTCAGATATTTGGAATTGACCATGATTCTTCATCTGAGAATATCACTCACACAACTGAACATTTTTTACTGCTGTTTATTATTTTTATTTCACAAAATAGAGAAATAAAGACTTTTTTTCTGTTGATCTCATTTACCTTTTTTTTTTAAAGAAAAGAAAAAGACATCACTTTCATTTATCCCCACGGGAAAGCATGGGTCGAAGGGTAAATCATCACTTAAATAAAACGTCCTCTCACTTTTGACAAAGGGGTCTGGAGGCTCTTTGGAGAGATATTCCCTCATGGCCAGCAGCCAATCAAACACACACATGAGTCGCATGTTGTTGAGCAGCACAGTGAAGTGAGTGCTGTCTGGCGCAGCTCTCAGGTGCATCTCCATCTGTAGACCTTTGAGATCCTTGGAGCCTGGAGACGGCTGTAGGATGCTGGTGAACACGTTGGGGCGCGCATTCACAGGCTCGTCTAGTTAACAAAACAAAACAGCACATCAGCGTGGTCCGATGTGGTACATGGCATGGTTATGTATATAATATGATATGGTGCTGCATGGCATCAAATGGCATCATATGATATGCCTGCATCTAACACAGTAATGTTGACTCAGTGCTGGGACCAAATTTAATTTGTTTTCAACAGGACTGAATCAGGTGCATGTACACATTAAAGACACACAGAGCAACCAAAGTTCAAGAACGCCCCCATCAGGACTTAAACAGCACAATAGTTCAGCTACACATTGCATGACCTATCAGCAAGCCCAAGAACATTTGCAAAAAAAGAAAGATCAGATAAGACCCAGAGCTAATTCATCAACAAGGGAAATTTGTTTTCCAGTTGCTGCCAATGACGATAGAGAAACAATGAAGTCAAATGAGATAAACATTCAAGCCTAAAAATGTATACAAGGAATACTTATCACGACTATTCAGTTCTACTATCCTTGCTGAGCACTTAGTTTAACCCGTCCGCTGACCTCCGGGGGTCATAAATCCCACTTGACAGTCAGGCCGCGCATCTTTTCCTGGGTGATAGCGCTGTTAGCCGATTTCGGTTAGAAAGTCTGTAATTTTCACTTGATTTAGACCCCTGTAAATGTCCTCTCTTATCTGTCACTATGGGTGTGTGAGGTATCAAATGAAAGCTCGGATTCTCCCCAATAACCCGCATCCTTTAGTTTGGTTCTAGTTCTAATCGAGTACACACACTGCCTCTGTACTTAACCCTACCTTGTTGTGCACGTATTTCTCGGAATCCTCCAAAATCAGCGGTTTTTTTCCATTCGTGAACTTCAGATTGTAACCAGTTTTTTATCTGTTGTATTAAGAGTCAGTAAGGAGGTTATTTGTGAAAAATTGTTTTGATTGGTTGGAAACCTTTAGCAGGATGGCGAGTTTTGTTACTTCACCCCGTAATATTTTCCCGGCCACAGCACTGCCCGTGTGGTATTCACCCCGTGGTCCCGCTTTCACTTTCTGGGATTCTGTGTCGACACGTGTTACGAGAGTCTGCTACCAGAGTGAAAATGGAACACACGCGGGAACTACACCTTGAGTGTTTAAAAAATTGTGTAGAACGTGCGGGGCCAAGTCAAAAGGTTAAGAAGGCAAACTATGAGCAAATATTTTTGTGTAAATTTTAAGAATAACGTACTCGTTCTCTATCATGTGAACATGGAGTGGGATAGTGCAGACACACATCCTGTACACTGTGCAACAAATGTGTAGGCCTACAGCGCATATACACCTTAAAAATTTGAGAAGCAACCCTAGCTACTGCACAAAAACGTATTGAAGAAAATTCACACCTAGGGACACCTTTCGATCAAAATAAAACAGTAGATGCTTGCCCTGTGTGTTCCCTTTGCACACTTCAAAACTGTATTAGAAAAGTACATCAAACACCGTCTTGCTCAAAAGACCCACCAGAGCCTCCATCTGTTGAAACACCGACCCATGTAATTGTAGCAGACAAACAATCACATGAAAGTACTCAACAGACATCCATAGTAGATCACTAGAAATATCACCAGTGAACTCCCAACACAGAGATCTAACCCTTGAGACACCAGCCGCGACTTCAACACCCAAACGTAAACAGAAAGAGTTCAAAGACAGTTTGAAGACACATCACTAGAGCATGCACTTCAGAGACCTATTACACAACTATTGTCTCATTTAGAAGAAACACCCGCTACACAAATGATACGCAGAAAACGTTACTCCTGGGCAGAGAAAAGGAAGGAACAGTTGATATGGAATTGGCCTAGATCTAGGTTTAATGAGCGAGGAGGATGACGAACTTGTTCATCTCAGCTTCGCAAAACGGGAGAAGATGACAGTGGGAATTAAGGGAAAAGGGAAGCAGTTGAAATCTGTTACTGAAGGGAAAGAAGAGGAAGACAACTAGCCTTTGAACTCAAAGACACTTTTGCATTTCTTGTTATAAGTATTCATATAAAATTTGTGTTTGTGAAAGTGAAAGCAGCTCTAGCTGTGAAAAGACAAAGCGGATACTCTTGTTTCATGAATTGGATAGCAGTGAACCTTCTACAAGTTAACTATTTCTGCTTGAACTGTGAGGAGACAATGAAAAAATCTCTCGTTTCATGAACTGGACAGTGGTAAATCTTCTTCAATTTCTCCATTTCTCAACCAATCGAACCAAAAGTAAGTGTTTCTGAAAGCTCATCATGTCACTGTTGTATACCACTGATTGTTTCATAGATCTGAGGTTCACATTTTAAAATATCGTAATTTTAAAAAGTAGACTCACGAAAAAATTTCTCTCAAAGTTGCCCTCATTTGCGCCGTGTTGTAAAGGGTGCCCAGTTATGAAAATCAATAAAAAGTTATTTGCTGTTGAGTCCAAGAATGCCTCTATCTTTTGATAGTATTTTGACTTTGATTTGTCTGTGGGCAAAGCCACAATGACAATGTGAAACTGTATAAAAATTGTTAAGTCACAACAGTTCACTCGCTGAGCAAAGGTCAAAGTGACCTCCCTGACCACCCGGGCGCAGCAAGGATGACTGGGTCAATTACTCAGGTAACTAAGTGCTCCGCTCAGGAACAGCCGTGTTATAATATTATCCTGACTAATTTGAAACTGTTTTCTCCATTAGAATGCATTTCTTTCCAATGTGTGTACATGTCAAAAGCTTATGTGTGCTCAGTGAGTGTTAGGATCTATACAAATATAATAGTCGACTGGGGTCTGTGGTGTGGCAGTCAGACTCTATATATGACAATTTACCAAGTTGCATTCGGGAACAAAAAGAAAGTTAACAAACACATCTAATATGAGGTTAAGCAGAAAACAAATGTTTGGAACAATTACTGTTCTTCTAGTGGGGAAAAAAACGGAAATGACTCGGGGGGGGGGGGAATGTCAAAATATCCTTAATACATAAGACAAAAAGGACAAACTAATAAATGCATACTTTTAAAGCGAGTGTCATAGATGCATATCTGGTTGGACACGAGGTCCACCTCCTTCAGCTGGTTGGAGTAGCTGGAAAAGGACAGTTGGGAGCGGATGAAGTCCAAGCGAGCCAGCGACTTCTCCGCCACATCTGGCGACATCTCATGAGAGTGCAGCAATTCCACGGTCACGTTGCGGAGGTCGATAACCAGACTAATGCTTTTCCATGGCCGACCACTCAGAACAGTCTAGAAGATTAGAGAGAGGGGATTCATGTTAGCAAATGTCATTTTAAGCCTTACAAGCCGTTATTGATGTCATTTTTTAAAATGAAAACTTTTAAAACTAAAACAACAGCTCAACTTGCAGGGATAGAGGACTCAGAAAGGTCTGGAAGATTAGAGAGAGGGGATTCATGTTAGCAAATGTCATTTTGAGCCTTACTAGTCATTATTGACGTCATTTTAAAAAAATGAAAACATTTAAAACTAAAACAACAGCTGAACTAGCAGTGATAGAGGATTAGTTTGAGTATGTTTTTAAAACATTTTCTTCAAGTTAAATGTGCAGCTCCCCATCTCCTTAAAGAGTGGATTCTTTTTTTTTTTTCTGAGCCTTGCCATGAATTATGTAAGCGGTAAACAATTCAATCCACACTGTACAGTACACATGTGTCTTTATGCAACATGTATCATAAAACACAATTTACAAAAATAAAACCTAACGAACTTTCAAGTTCCTACCTGTATCTTGGGGTCTTGTAGATGGGTCATCATGGGCCTCTGAAACTCCTCCAGCTTCTCCCCCAGGTTATGGCTCAGCACACCTCGGACCAGCTCATACTGACCACCGTCCAGCCGGCAGTCCACCGAGGACAGCTTGCCGCTGATGCCAAAGTCGGGAGCGCTGTGGCTGATGTCGCCCTCCAGGTTGTGCTCGATGTGCAGCTCCAGCAGGCACTTGTCATTGAGCAGCCGCCCGTGCTGGGGAGGGTGGTAGAGAACGGCCTGTCAGAACCATACCATAAAGGCTACGTTTTGCCTGGAACACGCTTATTTTGATTTGCTGCTTGCTTAAGTAAAGAGAGGGACTTCGATACACAATAACCATCATTTTGTTGGGGGGGGGGGGGGTTGTTTTAATAAGTTTTCATGCACTTGCAACACAATTAGGTCATATAAGTGCCAAAGATTAGAGGTATTACAAGACAGCAACACATTTAAAAAATAGAGGAGAGATAAGGATGATAGATGTTTGATAGAAAAGCAGGAGCAAAGAAACAACAGAGAGAAAAAGGGAAGTAAGATCAACCAGTGGCGTCCTCCAGTCACCATAAGAACAGATTAGAAACATAGTAGCAATATCAAAAAGTAGAAGCAGCAGATGACATCAGAGCATCCACAAACCACCCACTGGCTCTCATGATATGGACAGGACATTCAATGGAGGGTAACACAAATATGGATACATGTATGATGGTTATGGTAGAAAAACAAGCTGTATGTGAAGACTCAAGCAGTATAGAAAATGAGTAAAATATACCCCAAAGAAGCATATTCTTAGTATCTGAAAACCCCCCCACCAAAATGAGCTATAGTCACTAATGTCATTTAGTGGCACAGGACAAGCAAAATCATCAGTTTCCACTGAAAACCATTTAGTAGTTAGAGATCAAATGACCAGGCTAGATCTTGCATGAACTTCAAAAAGGAGAGGGGAGTTCAAACAACTGTAATACTCCCAACACACACTTTGCCATTATACATGCTACATCATTTCAGTCTCTCTTTCTTCAGTCTCACCCTACCCACCACTAGAATGCAAAGTTCATTATCTGTGAATCAAAAGACCTCATGACAACACTAACCACCCTCTCATGGACTCACAAAAGATGGAAATCTTTCATCGAGGAAAATAAGCAGTCACAGTACCTCTCTCTCCACAATAAAGGTAGAAAACTCCATGTCTCTAGAGAGATCTCCACGGCTATAGTCGGACTTCCAAACTCTGCGAGCGGTGAACAGATCTATGTCCGACAAGGTAACAGAGATGACATCCAGCAGGCAGCGATGGTCCTCATCATCCTCATCAATAGCCAGCCTAGTCCCTGTGGCAGAACCAGGACTTTTGCCAGCAGTTCCGGGGACGCTCTGCTTGTAAGCCCTGTCAAGACAAAAGTTGGTTCAGACTACAGATAGAAAAAAGGTTCCTCACATACAGTCAGGCATGGAAAACTCAAACACATCGGGGATTAATGAATGTGTTTGACAAATCCATAATTTGAGTTAAGCGATAAAGGAAAATTAAAGAGATAGCAGTTGCCGAGTGGACAGGGAAAGTTTTGCAACGACCCAACCCCCTTGCCCCTCACTATAAGAGGTGGAGATAGCTAGTGTAGTGTTCTGCAATGCAGCGTCCCCAAGAACCCGCGAAGGGTTAAGGGACTATCGATCGTGATAAAAGTAGTAGAAATATACAAATATATTAGAAGTTAAAAAAATGTTCAAAAGTAATAGGAATACACAATAGGAATAGAAATATACAAATGCAATAGAAATGTATGAAAGTACTAGAAATATGTGAAAATAATAATAGAATTACATTAAAACACACTCACTTTTTCTGATATCAAAGATAAAGACCTAATCCGACCCTGATATAATTCAGTTCACAAGTGTATGTCCACTTTACTGCATTAAAATGCTACAACCGACAACCTGATAATACACCAAAGCTGACCTGGACATCAGATAAGAGTCGCTGGTATGTCTTTTCATCTTGGGCCTCGCTCCCCCATCACCGTGAACAGAAGACGCAGGCATGTCCAGCCCCAAGGGCTCCAGTCCCTCAAGACGAAGGTCACGATCGATGCTGCCATAGACACTCTGTGCCATGGGGTCAATAGGTCGTGTAGGGGGGAACGACTCATTCAGCTGGCTCTCTGTCATGCCGCGATGCACAATACCCTTCTGGAGTATGGTGGGCTCTACTCCAGGACTGCTCTGACCAGGACTCTGGGGCTAGAAACAAACATTCCACCTCAAGATACAGCAAAATATCACAAACAATGACACACAATTTCCAGACACCTCAAGATATAGCAAATATTTAAAATGTAACAACATTTCCAGACCCCTCAAAGTACGGCAAATATCACAATGTTACATAATTTTTCAGACGCTTTAAGGTGTGGCAAAAGTCACAGTGTTACATAATAGCCAGACAGCTCGAAGTACGGCAAACATCTCAAACAATGTTTTCTAGTATGTCCAAAGACCTGAAGATACAGCAAAATATCTTAAACAATATTTCTTTCCCAATACCCAAACACGAAATTTCAATAACTTTCCAATTCAGTCAGCAAAATTCATCTTTCAAATAACTTCACAAACATAGCACATAGCAGGTCCCATAAGTCTGCTCGTCTCACTGACAGTACCTATTCCTTCAAAAAATTTTCAGGTACACTGATTATTAGGAATGCTTACTATATATTGCTATACTTCTAAAACCTTCCAGGAACTCAGGGAGAAACAGGGCCAATGACGTAAAAATCTGTTGCTTTGCAGTTTGAAAAAACTATAGCCAAATATTCCTGCAATCTAGCTGACGAAGAATGGAAAAAAAAAGAGTCCTGAGTGAGGAGCGGGTACCTTGAAGCTCTTTGTCTCCAAGTGGGCCTTCAGCGTGCCTGGGTCACCGTCCACTGTAAAAGTATTCCGGAGTCTCAGGTTGCCCAGATCAGCACCCAGCACGGCATGGGTCTGGGAGCTATGGGGAAATAGCAGGATGGGTGAAGCCGCCTCAATGTCCAGCTGGATGCGGGCTCCACGGGTCGCTTTCTCATTGATCTGTGGACCAGATACAAAACGGACAGATGAGGCAGACACAAGGTGCTTAAAAAAAAAGAGGGACACAAGACACAAAGAAGGAAGATACTAGCTCAGTGTTTTGTTCGAGTGAAGAAAGCAAGCTCTGCACCCTTGCACCCACAAGCCATGGGAAAGTTTTTTAATTGAACATCTCCGCCTATCAGCTGGGATGCTTTATCCCACTAAGCCCGAGCTGGCCTTAACAAGCATCTCATCTCCCAAGCCATCACATTTGTTCGATAGGGGTGTAAAACACAATTACAATTACAACTACAAACCTTCTTGCCCGCGGAGGCAGCCCTCATGCGTCCCAGAATGTCCTGGAGTTGTAAAAAGTTCTGTACAAAGGCCACCAACTCCATCTGGAAGCGCTGAGTGTGGACGTAACGCACTGAGGACATGCGTAGCTTGAGGCTGATGTCAAATGCTCTCTTCATGTCAAAGTCAGGAAGACCATATCTAAGGAAAAACAAGCATGGAATAAGACTCACTTAAGCCAAGCCCCCTGCCCTCCCCCTTTCCCCCTAAAAAAAACCCAACAAACCTGGAGATAATTTACAACAGACAAGCCTTGACTCTTTTCAAAAGACAGAAATTACATTGTCTACATTTTTTAAATAAATCTAAATCCATCAACATAGTTTCAATAAAATGAGCCCAATCCTGAAAAACAAACATTTCAATGAATATGAAAATGAAAGTTCAGACATGCTATATGTAGTCAACCCTTCTATACGGCAGTGAATGTTGGACAATCACTAAAGAGAATGATAAAAAAATAGAAGCAACAGAAATGTTGCAACAGAAGACGATGAAGAAAAGACAAGTGCAGTTTCTGGGACACTTGAATAGACATAAAGCCCCTGAACATCTAGCTCTCACTGGCAAATTTGAAAGTACATGAGGCAGGGGAAGACCCACAGAAACCTATTTGGAGATCCTATACAGGTGGGTGAAGGGGGGGAATTCAGGATAATGAAACTTTTTTGAGAGCACTAAAGCAAAGGAATGAATGGAGAAGCACGATCGTCAATGTCTGTCGCAAATCTGGCACTTGATGATGATGATGATGATGATGATGATGATGATGATGATGATGATGATGATGACATCAACATATCAATCATTTGGGGTATAACACCAGCGTGTGCATTTGTTTGTTCATACATCAAGTATGTGTGGTTGTGTTGAGGTGACACAATGTATCGACATTCCGTGTTGCAAAAGCTGGTGAACGCAAACTGCAATTTTTTTCAAGTAATGGATCAATAAACAGTTCTTGTCATAGCTTAATTTTATTAAAAACCCTCTAAATAAAAAAAGATTCACTTACAGATTTCAGAATCATAAAAGAAAAGCCATTTACCCAAGTTCAGCACCACTAACAATGTGCAAAAAGTTTTTCTCACATACATATCTGTGGTGTTATGCTCCATGTTATTTAACACATAACACTCTAACTTGGCCGGGATCGTCTGGGAATTTCCTTATGCGCACCACCCTAACACGCCCAGAATCGTGCGCGCCGACCAAGCGTCTTTAGAAACGAAATCTCGCCTTGAGGCCGAGATTTTGTTTTACATAGTTATTGCAAAATGTTTCTTCTTACGTTTGATACTGAAACAAAATTTTGCGGACCAGTAATTTTAGTATTAGAGCCGATCGAAGTGCAATCGCGTTTCCAACAATTCAAAGGTTAAAAAGCATTCATTTTTCTAACTTTTATTTTTTCTGGATTTTTAAAATTTGTTTAGTATTTTTAAGATGTGTTTTCTAAACGTTTGTATTCAAGGGGGGAGGGTTCCTTCCCCTTGCTTAGGATCTAGGAATGGACTTCCCGTCCAGACCCTTAGGGTGTAATATGTTAAGAAATAGGTCAACCTTTTCCCTGAAACTATTGCAAAGGTCAGTCTGCTGGTCCTCAGTAAAACTTTGTGGTCAGCATGTTCTATGAATTGGACATAAGTACTCTGGGATAACTTTCATGTCTTTTTACATCATTTACATCAGAAGGGTTTTTATAAAGCCTGTTGAAATATGTACAAGTGACCAGTTACATGATTACAGAATAACGGCATTGATATAACACCACCAAGTTGCTTTCTTGAACTCAAAATCCCATAATAAGAATCCCGGCTTACTTGAAGAAGTCAAACTCCACCAGCTGACGTCCAGTGGAGACAAATCTCTGTCGATACAGGCGCCCATGTGGAGACTGGTCTAACAAGGACAGGCTGCCCAACTGCCCTGAGGCTGAAGCCAAAGAGAGAATATGGAGTTAGCAACAGAATCATAAAGAAAAAAACAAAAAAAACAAGAACAAACCAAAAATAAGGCTACTGCAATCTTGTTTTAAAGCAGCAGAAAATGGAGTGTTCTGGGTAGCCGGTTGGGAGAACCGGAATCAGTAAGAATTTAACCATCGCAAAATCAAGCTCTAAAGGTCATACAATTAAGGTAGTAAATATATTAACTTCTCAGTGTCAATATGGTCAGATCATGTTTTATGACAGCATGCAATCACTTTGATTTTATTAGAATTTTTTGTCATACATCAAAATGGGCTGCAAATGAACTTTCTACCCTTAACAAGTCTGAATTTTTTTCCAATGATATTCCTGGAATTGATGTTGATTTTGTTTATCTTGAATTTTCAGTATTACTATTTGTAAGAGGATATTGGTCACATAAATGTCAAAAGCATGAAATACTTACCAGATAAATTCCCATCTCGTAATGATATGTGCGTCTGTAGGTTGGAGGCAGTGGCGTGAGCAAGCTCATACTCTGGCTTGTTCAGAATGAGGGTAAAACTCTCCACATTGAAGTTGATCTCCGAGTTCACATCCTCTTTCTCATCTTGGGGTTAAAATAATTATTTCATTTAACTTTCCGAAAACATACTTTTAAACACATAGATATAACATAGTGAAAAGTAACTTTTGACACAACGCGTCAAATGTTCTCGAGACATAACTTTCTATCACTCTGCAGGCTAGTTTAAACATTTCTGAACTCTAAATACACAAATTCTTACACGTCTTACTTTTCCTGTAGACAATCCAGATTGTTGTTTCTATCATCGATCCAGTCCCTTTAGACCATTAACACTTGTCGGGAGCTAACAGTCATATCCTTTATGGTTTCTAAAACAATGTCTCCAAAAGCTATACGTTGCCATCTGCACATCAGAAGGCCTTTTCATAAGAAACCCTTGAAGCTCAAGGATTGATGAGAGAGGAGAAAGTGCATATTGTCCGTATCGCAAGCAATCCACTTAAGTCTATTTGGGTACTTTTTTACACCAGGGACTAGATTTTGTTGAGTTGTTCTTAGAAATCATGAAAGGCAAGAAAACTGAAAGCAGAAATGCAAGTGGCCCTAAAAAAATGGCCTGAAAATCAGAAGGGGCATACGAGCACCGCAGGCGCGAGGCCTAGCTAGGGTGGGCCGCGGACAATATTTTGAACAATTGAGGCTTCTAAACAGCCATCTGGAGGCATTTTCAGCTTTGAAAAGTAAAATATCAGACCAAAAAGAATATCTATATTGTCTATTGAAAACAGAGAGTAAATCAACTGGGTATCACTTAGACCTACTCAGATATTGAGATCCACGAGAATCAGGATTGCGAGGCATCTTTTCGGGACAAAAAACCTAGATCTAGCTCCAGGTCCAGACTCGTAAGGTCACCACATCAATCACTGACCCAGTCACAATGAAATAAACAAATAGATCTAGATCTAGTCTTGTTCTAATAAAAAAACCTTTCCCCAGCAGAAACAAAAGTCAAACTGAAACAGCACTAAATAAACTAAATATCTACATTCTAGCTTGCCAAAAAAAAACTTTTCCGGCAGAGAGAAGAGCTCTTCTTTGAAAGAGCACTCACAAGGACTGTAACCGCGCACAACAGTACACCAGTGACACGATGTTCGGCTCATCTAGTTGGGAACATTTACTATTTTGGCAACATACGAACGGAAATGCGAACTAGGAAAAAGACGATGCATTCCCGGCCGCCATTTGCATCCCAAGGCTCGGTTTGCTCAGTTCATTTGATGCGTACACCTTCATTTATAGCCGTATACGGGGTGCCCATTACAGATGGGATCCGTGGGTGGTGAAAACAAATGCGTTTGTTTTTTTGGCAACATTGTGCCCGACTCGCCGATTCAAAAACAAACGCGTTTGTTTTCAGGCGACGGTCAGGTGATCGGCCTGACCCGCCGTAATGGGCACCCCGTATTAGGGAAATGCAAATAGTGGCAGGAAAAGCGTCGTCTTTTTCCTCATTCGCATTTCCGCTCTTGCATTGCCATAATAGTAAATTTCGCCTGAAAATGTTTGCCGGCCGGAGACCTTTGGTCAGAAACCCGGCCGGTCGACCGAGGTGGAAAAATATGAGTCAGAGCCAAAATTGCCAAACACTTACACATCTGTGAAAGTTTAACCATAGCATTGAACTACATTTTGGTGGTGTTGAAAGGTGCATCTTTGACAAGAGCTTTGGGAGGGCGTAAAAATAATTTAAAAATCCAAATTTAGACTTAAATGAATTGCTTGCAACAGCAATGATATTTACCACTGTCCCAATTATGTCTGACCAAAACACTGCTGACCTACATGTTTGACTTTCAGCTACCTCACACCCAGACTGTACAATACCAAGTGTACCATCTGAGGCCTTCTCAACCTCTCCCATCGTTATCTTGACACCTTTGGTATCCATTACAACTTTCTGATGTTTTTTAATTTTCCAAATGTTACCATTAACCATAAACCAGTGCTTGACTTCTGTCCACCTCACCTTGAGCTCTGTTTAGCTGTGATGGTTGTGCCTCCCCTGTGGCCTCCTGGGAGTCACTGAGGTCATGAACTTTGGCCCCGAGGCCCAGGAAGTCCAGGAGAACAACCCAGGTCTGAAGGTTGATGGTCGCATCCAGACAAGCAAAGTCAATATCCACATAGCGGTTGGTCTAGAAAGAAACAGCAACAGCATATTGATCATAGTAGGGTTAATGAGTGATGCATTCATAAAACACATTGACTAATGAATAGATGATATAAGGAAAATATTTCATGAGATCAATCCAAGTAAGTTAATTATTGTAGAATTCTACATTCCCTTAAATAAGTATTCATTAAAACACACGCCAACTATTATACAAGCTTCCTAAATTAGTCAAGTTACAAAATAATTCATTGTTGTTTATAAGTGAGTCAAAATGTGGGTACAGTGTAGAAGGTTCTATGACAACTGCTCTTTGAAACACGTCACCTTGTTGTATTTGCTGACATATTCCGGCCTCTTCTTGTCCACTAGGGTGATGTCAATGCGCACAAGGTCATCACTGCGCCTCTCTTGAGGGGTCAGAAGGTCATGCGCTGCAGGGCTGGGTGGTGGAGTGTAAGGACACTGAGCCATGCTAAAAGGAAACAAAAAATAGTGTTCAACTGCAAGAACTTTCTACCACCAACCAGACAATGACAGATAGAACTAGTTTTGTGTTCACCACAATTGACTACTGTTTACAAAAGCGCAGTTAAAACCTACTTCTCCTTCTGTCTCCGTGACGATGAGGCAAACATCTGCGGCAACTTCTGCTGCTGCTGTGACTGTTCTTTCAGCCTTTGAGGAGGATGTCTAAGAAAATGAGAGAAAAGAAAAAGCAAAAAAAAAAGTTACTACTTTCACTTTGCCTAATGGGAGGAATTTCATTAAGATTGCTTTTATAATATACTGATAAAATTATCTACAGATTACACTAATACACACAATAGCCACAAATGTGGACAATATTGCTATAGATGGTTGTCACAGTGCAGCGCCCTGTACCTCAGCATAGGTGATTGTGTATTGCTCAAGGACACACCTCTGGGATCACCCACCTAACAGCCACATAATTGGCATTGCTTGACATTATTTGCAAGCCTGGGCACAGTAACCATTTGACCACTGACCAAGTCAACAAGCTACACAACGGGAAAAGAATAAGAATGGGGATAAAAGTCTAGCAGACATAAAACAGGAAAGGAAGAACAACACATGTACAACATTTCTCCATGGTTCACAAACTCGACCGAAAGCATTGTCTCTTGAGCAAACAGAACACAAAGATGTGGTCAAATTGACAGAAACACCCATGAAAGTCTAGCAAATCAACTAATGCCAAATGCATAATTCAAAGATTAGAGAATCGGAGTAATGGAAATTATGAAAATGAATGAAACAGTGGTGACACAATAATACACAAAGACAAGCACAATGAGAGAAAGTGACTCACCGATTGACAAAGCTGCTAGGTAGAGACGGGGGCATCTGTGGCACAGGGGCCACAATGGTGCTGTCTGGGCATGATCGGGACATCATGTTCTTGGGCTGGTTATGCACACGCTGTAGCCTGAGCAATGGGGAGCAGAGACAGTTTTATAGACACAAACCTCGTTCCAATGGGAAAACCCAGCAGGTACAGGAAATCTGATTTACTTGGATAAATTCAGTTGCTGTCTTACTATAAATTTTGATGGGAAATTAAGATAGCAGTAATAATTCAATTCTCTTCTTAGAAAATTTTTAAGTTGTGGAGTGAACAGTTTGGGTAATCCAGCACACAAGTTTCTATAGAAACATATAAGTGGATATGGTAAGAACAAAAGTAGAACACATAAAGATATCTAATATATTACTGCCTGATTCAAACAAGATGGCTTGAGTTCATTTCAATCACACTACACACACACAACAACGACTTACATGTCTTTATTCTTGGAAGCCCGAGACACAATGATCTGCCTGTGTTTAGAATCCGGTGGCTCCAGCAAGTCATCCATCTGTAAAGAGTTGAGGTGGAGCATAATCCTGGTGCTGGCCTTGTCGTTTTTCTCGTAGCGCACGGAGAAGTCGTAGAGCTTGAGGTCCACCAAACCCTGCTCTCCCTCACCAAAATCTCCACGGAGCTCCACCTCAAACAGAGGAACTTCAAACCGCACATGCTTGGCCAGGAAACTTTCATTCACACTAGTCGAGTCTTGATCTGGTCCCGATGTCGAGCTCTGTCGGTGGTCTAGAGGACTGGCGGCACGCTGCTCTGTCTTTGATTGTCCAGGATCAAGATGGAAAGGGACATTAATCACAATATCTGGAGAAGCCGGCCGCAAGACTTTTGACGTTTCTGCATCATAGGTGAGATTGTCTGTTGTCTGAAGGATTTGCTCATAAACTTCTTTGGACAGTCCCAGTTTGACTTGGGAGGGGATTTTGGCTTTTACGTCGAGCACTGAGGAAGCAATGCTGTTCGTTGAGTCTGGAGGCCCACAGGAATCGACACTACCTTTTCTCTGCTTCTGAGGTGAGCTTTGACCGAGATTGCGCGGCATTCCTTCGATGCCAGATGAAACATCTGGGTTGATATAGGGCACATCTACATCCCGTTTACCCAGGGCCAACTCCACACATGTGTCGTACAAGATTGGGATCCCAAAGTCCTGGGTCAGCTCGGACAGACCTGGACTACACAGACCCTCTGCTCTCAGCCTGGCCGACTGCTGACCTTGACCCTTGCTCAGGTCCACGGAGTACAAGTTCATGTTGGTCAGGGAGAGAGAGACCAGCTCTTCCATGGGGTCACTTGATGCATTGAAGTCAGTATTACTCTCGCTGTCGCCACGGCGACGAGACGGGCTTGAGTTACTCACAACAATCTCTCCGAGGTGAGCCAACAATACCTGCAAAACAAAAACAAATCACACCTGTTTTATGCTTCTATCCACACAGTTTAGATCATTAAGGTGATGGCAACAAGACAAGTTGAGATGTTCTTTATGGAGAGCCAGCGAGACAACAGTCACATTTCCTTGAGAAATAAATTGGATAACAACAGCATGGACATGTAACAGAAAGTGAAGACCATATAAGGACACCCATTAACCACTCACAGTAAAAAAAACCCCTCTTGTTCTAAGTTTCAAAGACATGGCAATCGACATGATGACAACATGGTGAACAACATAGTGGATCTTTTGTGACAGGGACAAAATGTCTGTACAGTGATACTGCTACAAATTTAATCATAATTATGCGTTTACAGAAAATACAACAAAAACATTTACAAATCTACTTCTTTGTTTTAGTCGAAGTTTTACGGCAATTGCAGTTCAATTAGGTAATACAAATGCCGGTGATTAAAGGTGATACTTCATTACAAGTGGGCATTTTAGTTTTTGGGGGGATTTGCTCAATTTTTTGTGGACAGCTTCATTACTGTTAAATGTTTAACTTTTTCATTCATTCACCAATTTGTGCCATTTCACTGTCAGTGAGTGTAACTTCTTTGATGTATTCAGATGTTTGTGGACTATTTCATTACCTGTGGGCTGTTGGGAGTGCGAGGCACAACTAGTATTGGTGATTCCATTCGGGCGTTGATGATGATTATTCGCTTACCAGCCTCGTGGGCTGGGCTGGGAAACTGTTGTTGACCTATAGGTAGACTCGTCATGTCTTCCAAGAGAATACTCTCCGTGATATCCCCTAGAGACTGGTCTCTCCGCATGGAAAACTTTCCTCGCAAGTCTTCTTCCATCGGCGTGGTGAGATCAGAATGAGCACGGGTGCCGGCTTCTCTCTCTCCCCTCACGCCTACCATCCCCATGGCAACCTCAGTGGCTGCAGTTTTGATGGAGGAAGCTACCTGAGTGACATAGTCCCGGAATTCAGACACACAGTCCAGCAGCTCATCCAGAAACTTTGGGCAGTGGACATAACTGAGAGAGGCCATGTCAAACAAAGCCTCCACTTTTTGACCAGAAGAAGAAGTAGAGACGCCGGCTCGAGATAAATCAACATTGCTGGCAGCCACATCGGCAAAGACATTGTGCTGTGCCTGATGCTCCAGCTCCACCTTCACCACAAAAGTACACGCATTCTTCTGTTCCCCTGCTCCAGTGGCTGCGTACGAGTCGTTGAAGATGTGGCTGTCTGCGGCTGTCTTCCACATGTCTTGATGGTGTAAACTGGAAACTCCCGGTGACAGTGGTGGTGGGCTGCCCGCACCACTACCTGCCAGGTGGGGAGCTGTTGAGTCTACTATATTGTGGAACTGACCAATGCTGACCACGTGCTGGTACAGCGTGCCCTCAGGAGTCACATCCAGCAGGTGGAGTCCCCCTAGGCTGCCTTCAAACTCCCAGTTCTCATCTGTGGGAAGGAAAGAACATACTTGGGGGGTTTTTCAGATGAAAGCCAGAAAAAAGCTGTTGGTGCATAGCTACATCTATCGTTTGAAAAGTGAACCTGATAAAAGTCTTACGTTAGAGACATTTATATGCATATTTATGTATACCTCAGTGTTTGCTTTTTCATTTGAGTAAAGAGAAGCATATCAACACAATACAGGGAGCAGGGAAAAAGCAAACAGACAAACAGAAACAAGACGATAAGAAAAGAAGTAGGACCAATCAGTGGTGTCCTCTAACTACCATTTATCTTAAAGAACATCTGCAAAACTAATTCAACATCAAAACACACAAATACTAAATCATATCTGTTCCTTTTGTGGTGAAACGACAGCATAAAGAAAAGGCAAAATTAAGGTTTAATTGCCACTCTTGTGTATAAATCACACCTGAAATCCAGAGAATAATAAATAAATGGAATATACATCTCAAATAATTATTTTCAACATCATACACAAAAGGGTATTAAAATCTTAGACAGGAAGCATAAAATCTGAAATACACATTTAAACTTCAGAAACTTTCTGAAGACAAAGTTGCTGTTTTTTCAGTAGTGTACAGTGAGTTCCCTTCACAACAGTCACATCTGGCCTGGTCTGATTCATTTGTTTGAGTAAAGAGAAGCACATTGAAAATACCAGTCACTTAGCAAAGGAGGGAAAAAAGCAAGTTAAAATAGAGGGAAAGTGCAGAAGTAAGACCCATAGTGAGCCTCTCCAAGCACCTGTCATTTTGCCTGGAACAGACAAGGACACCAGCAACAAAGAAAAAAAGAAAAAATAGAACATGTAGCAAAGCCCGACAATCCAGCAGTATGCACTCACCAAACTGTGCCTGCAGCTTGGCAGCTGACATGGTGGCTGTGGCAACTTTACGGGCTGTGTTGTGACCATCGCTCTGTAGAAACCTCAGCAACATCACATTGAGACGTTTGAAATCTGCGTTGATATGCACAATGTCTTTGCTCTAAGATTTAAAAAAAAAGACTTACATAAGTTGCTGAGCCACAATACATCCATATATATGCAAGTCAACATCTGTTCCTTCTGGGGCAGAATTAAGGTGAAAAAAGGGTCAGGTACATGGTTAAACATCTTAATTAAAAAATATCCCCTTTCCCCCACTACCCCCCAAAATGAATGTATAAAATCATAAGCGCCCCCCCCCCCCCCCCCCTATTCTTATTATGAAGCAAAAAGACATAGCAAAATTATTTAAGGTTACCCCCCCCCCCCCCCCCAAATCAATGTGTATCCACAAACTATTCTCCCTACCCCACAATTGTTATAATTCAAGGAGTGATAGCAACCCACCCCACATCAATTTATATCTACCAAAAGCTTTTTTTTTAATAATCTAAATAGTAGAAACCAATCAAAGACAGCACTAGCGCAGTGTCTGTGTTGTCGACCTGTGATGGCAAAACAGCGCTGGGGCTGGCCTGGCTTGCTGCCTTCATGGACTCTTCTTTGGGGAATGTCTTGGGAAACGTCCGGTTCCAGAAGGACATCATCTCCACCAGGGTCTCTTGGTTGGCTGCAAACAGGAAGAAACAAAACATACCAAGACACATGATTATTCCAATGTATTATCTACCAATAGTTCATTCTCTACCAATACACTTCATTCTTAAAACATATTATCTACCAATAGTTTATTCTCTACCAAAACACTTTATTCTTACAATATATCATCCACCAATAGTTTCTTCTATACTAATGCACTTTATTCTTTAAATATATCATAATAATAAATGACATTTATATAGCGCTCAACCCCGAATAAAATACACAGGCTCTGAGCGCTTTACAACACAGTACAACATACAACAGTAACATGAAACGTTGTGTTCTGACTAAAGAAAATTATTCCAAATATTCATCTTATTAATTTAAAAACAGAAACGACTTCAGCTGACATTTGAATGAATCAAAAGATTTGATTTCTCTCAAAATACTTGGTAAAGCATTCCATATCTTGGGGCCTTGGTATTCAAATGCCCTTTCACCCATTGTTTTAAGTTTCATAGATGGTAAAATAAATTTCTTTTTGTCAGCTGATGACCTTAAACTGCGAGTTGGAATGTACAGTCTTAACAGATTTGATAAATATGATGGTGCATTATCATTCAAACATTTGTGACATAGGGTGGCCAACTTGTACACAATCCTTTTCTCAACAGGAAGCCAATGCAAAGTTCGCAAAAGAGGTTTAGCCGAGTCTCGCTTTCTTTTCCGTAAAACTAAACGTGCAGCTTTGCTTTGGACAGTTTGAAGTCTTTTAACTTTCTAAAGTGATATTCCTGATAACAAGGAGTTACAATAATCGAGTTTTGATAAAATTAAGCTAGTTACTAGTAAAGCAGTGTACTTGGTATTGATCAGATTACGTATTTTACTAATTTTTCTTATTTCTAAATTCATGCAGCTGATCAGATGATTTACCTCAGCCGACATTGACAAACTGGAATCAAAATAGATGCCAAGATTCTTAACTTTTCTTGAAAATAAAATTTTTGCATCACCAATTGTAATGTGATTATGGTCAACCTCTTTAACAGACTTCTACCAATAGTTTATTCTCTACCAATGCACTTTATTCTGACAGCTTATTCTCTACCAAAGCTGTTCATTCTCTACCCTTACACCATATTTTCAAAGCTTATACTCCAACAATGCGGATTATTTCCAACCCCTATATCTTTTTCTTCCAGCAATACAGTCTACTATCTACAACTCACTTTATTCTTTACCAGTACAATTCATTCTCTACTTTCACAATTTATTCTCAAGAGTTTATACCCTACCAACTTGCTGTATTCTTACAGCTTGTTCTTTACCAATACAGTTTATTCACCGCAAAAACATTTTTTTTCCACTTGTCCCTCCCAGCACATTTTCACATAAAGTCAGTGTGTGAGAGGAATGAATTTTCTTATCAAGTCTGATGGCATAGTCTGAAAGGATCACAGAGCAATTTCTTTCTTGATATCAGCAAAGTTCCACAACTCTATGCACTGCACAATAATTATTTGGGAAGGAGGGTCAAACTTTACTTGTACCCTAAAATAAACAAGATTTGTATAATGTCTCACCAATAAAATCCAGACTATTAAACTGCAGGTTGAGGACTCTCGTCTGTGTGTCTGCGGGTCTGTCTGGGCCAGAGGCTGGCGTGGTGACCACCTCATACTCCAGGAGAATCAACGCCTTGCTGTCTCCCGCAGGGCCCGCCATTTGACCTTTGATCCCCGCGCCGCCACTCTCCTCGTGACCGTGGGCAGGGCTTGTGCTGCCTCCTGTTGGGTTGAAAAACAACATGTGTACGCAGCTCAGTTTGTGAGTGTCAGTTTCTGCCATAGACTTGAATTATAACATACTTGACTGGGTACTCTGCCGTAGGCTGATAAAACGCCTTTTTTTTCTTCACAGCAGTTTCAATAAAATGTTTTTTTTGTCAGCGTAACAATTTAAAAATAGAGTGATTTCCAAATTTGAATTCTAATTTATTCAAAAACTAGTCCTAGTTTCCCTTTGAATTTTTCACAGAAGTAGGGTAACTGATCAGGCTTTCAATTTAGCAAATAAAAAAAAAATTTGGCACCAAAATGAAAAAAGGCATTTTGTCAGCTTACAGCAGTACTGTCATGGCTGCCACTCTATCATCATAGTTATGATCTTTATCATCAAGATCATTGTTCCTCTTTTTATACAGGATGGAAGGACGATTATCTCATTCCTACATTTTATATGAATATTATTAAAAAGAGAATCACTTCCGGAGGGAAAATCAAGTAAACAATTGTCTCCATTAAGCAGCCATTTTGTGAGGATCTCTCACAAGGATTGGCTTTCATGATCATTGTTATTTTTATCCTTATCAATATCATTGTATAGCACTGCAAACAGAGAGATTACATACTGTGCTGCAGGACAGAGTGGAAAGCCGTGCTGATCGCATCCTGAATGGACTGGAAACTGCTGAAGGTCAAAGATGGAGTCAGGTCAGGGGTCGGGGAGCCAGGGGAGGCGGGGGAAGACGGAGACAGAGGAGAACTCGGAGAGTTGAGCTCAGACCCTCTAATGCTGCCACTGCGACTGTCCAGCCTGCAAAGGAGAGAGGAGAGGTTTGTTTAAGTAAAAGTTATACGGCACTTGCAACACAATAAGGCCAGGTAAGTGCCGAAGAAAAGATGTGTTACAAGAGAGTAAGATACACAAAAAAGAAGGACGAGAGATGGGGAGGATAGATGTTTGATAGGATAGAAGGAGCAAACCACACCAGAGCACCCTCCAATCACCCACGAAATGGTTGGGGGTGGGGGGGGGGGAGAGATAAATGTCAACATATAAATCAACAACAAGAAAATTTCACAATTTGAAAAATGTTCACAACTTCCATAACATGGCATTATCTGACATATTATGTCCCATATCCATACAAAACAATTTCCCATATCCATATATAAAACAATGTTCCATGTTCTCTGCTTACGCCCTGGGCTTCAAGAAGTATGTAGGAAACTCCCCCCTAAAAAACTATCAACCCATATTATTATATCCCTCTATAGGTGCCTGGAATCAGAAAAAGCAAGCAAAGAGACAAGAAGACAGGTAACTTCATCATGTTAAATAGGAAGAAAGAACAAATAAGTCGACAGCTCTTCCTTCTTCAACACTCCCTTGCTAAAACTCAGAGGTTGCTGCATTGTTCATTCTACATCACAGCTGCTTTTTTTTAATGTACTCAACCTATTTTCCTATGTAAGTTTATCTTATTATATTTTATAAAAACCACATTCTTCATTATGGGGTCGGGATTGATTTAGGATTTTCTCTTAGCAGGAATACTTTTCTATCAATTTCAATTTTTCAAGTTTCAATAACACTCATAACATGCGCACAGGACATTCCCCCCC